TGGCCCTGGCCCTCCTGCCAACTCTGGAGAAGAATAGGTCGCGAGCTTCGTTCGGCCTGCGTTTGGGTCCAAGAATGTGTCTGACCACTGCCTGTTGAACGCCTCGTAGCTGCGTCTGCTGCGCTTGCGAAAGTACCCAACGTCCCGCACACCAGGACAAACTGCTGCCGACGAGGATGTGCAGTCAGTGGAGCCGTCGTGCAAGAGGGGCCCTGCGGTAGCATAGCATGTGATACAATTGTAAAAGCCCGCCAATTCGCCTTGAAGCCCTCGTCTCGGGAGGCTCTGGGCAGCTGTTGCCCGCGCGCGAGGACTTGGTAATACTGCTCATGTTTTGCCGTCGCGTTCCAGGTTGTCTCCTGGAGCGGCGCTAACCACCCGAATTGATGCAACAATGCCAACCACTTCTCGGTCATCTCCGAAAGCATGTTTGGCGACATCGCGAAGAACCATACCTTACCCGCATACAAAACGAAAGCCGCCCAGCTGTCACCATTAGTCGTGTTCCAAACTCCCCTTTCGCGACACCGCACCAAGAAAATAACGGCGGGCATGTCCAAAACAGCATTGAAGATGGCGGGAGCTTCCAAGTCGCCTTGCAACAAAAAATGCGTCTCTTGAGCGGATCGGATTGCAGGGCCGGGGTGAGCTCGAATGTTGTACGGGTGCGGCGGACTTCCCGGACCCATGCGGCAAACTATATGTCAAACGTTTGTTCTGGGCCAATCCCTGGGTGCACGTGCAATGTCTTGCGCAATCGTGCGCGATGTGTTTGTCCCCACCCAAAATGCAAACGTGCACGTGACATTCGAACGTTTACTCAATGACGTTCCGCAAAATGATAACCGGCTCGTGCGCGCAGTGGCCCTGTCGGAAAGCAAACTGCGACGCCTGAGGGCCTCCAAGTTAACTTGCCAAAACAATCAATACTTGTATGAACGCCTGACAGAGAACAGGGATCAACGAAGTAGGCCTGAAATGCTGGATCGTTGTGGGCTTGACACGCCTCGCCACCAAACGAACTCAGTCATGAATCCAAGAACCGTCGTCAGCTTCAATCGGGTGACCATCCGAATTTGGAAGATCAGAGCCATTGCCTCGAAGACATCGTCATACAAATCAAACGACAAGCCGGCCACTACGCAGTCGTCGGCGCATGATTTATCCGACGTCAACATGAATGCCACCCGCTTGGCCAAAAAACCAATGATCCCCGGCAGTGTCTCAAGATCTTCCCACTCCAAAAACTTCCAAATCCGATATGGTTGTGCCGTCGCCGTTCCCGAAGACTGTGTCGATGTTTTGCGCCCTCGTCGCCCGGATCTCATCATCCGCGCTGGCGCCCTCGTTAACATGGTCGTTCAAAACTCCGTGGACAGACCAACTTCTTCCGTCGAGGTGCGATTGTCAGCACACGTGCCCCACTACTGCAGGCTCATGCCGAACAGCTGGCCGCAGGGCTCGGGCTTTGCGTCTCTGTCGACAGACTTCCAAGACAATGTGTGCTGTTCTGCCATAACAGGGGATATGTCGACCCCTATCCCAGGCTTCGTGGGGTTTCCGAATGGACCAGAAATTTGGGGCCTAACCCTGGGATATACGATGGGGGGGTGTCCATTCTCGATAGGGGTGCGTCCGAATAGCCCCCTTGGGGTGTATCCCAAGATTCCTCCCCTTTTCTGAGCGACCAAACTTTTCTGGCGGAAGTCGGGGATTGGGGGAGAGAAATCGCCTGCGATGCCAGTCGCCGCTCCATTGCTCGATGCCGCTGCGCACTCCTCAACGCCCGAAAAAGCAGGATGGCCATGTGCTATTTCCGGGGGCCCGTGGCGCCTCGGCGCGCCGCGTGTTTAGCGCAGCGTCGGCGATGGCGGGGGTGCTCTTCTCGGGTGTGGGGGCGGGCGCGCTGTCGGGGCAGAGTCGGTCCGACGACACTCGGGAGCGTCGTCGTCTTCCATGTTGCCGTCGCTACGACCGTGCTTGCGGTCCATGTCGGACGCCGGATCCGAGACTGACGCCGTGGGAGGGATGGGTGTGCCTGAGAGCCTATCTGTGTTTGCCCACCCCCTGGGGGACAGAGCCAGCACCAGGAGTCGGGATGCCCCCCAGAGACGCGTGCGCCTTGAGGGCAGCGCACGGTGATATCAGAGGTAGAGAGATGCGGGCGCCGCCACCGACGTGGCCTGCAACACCTTCACAGACGCAGCTGTCGAACGGCAAGCTCTGGAGGGTCAGCTGGAAGCCACCCGGGTTCGAGTCTGTCAGGCGATACGGTCGGCTCCACCATCCTCATCGGTGAGCTGCATCGTCCCCTCGTGTCGCCAGCGCTGTCCGCGGGGTCGTTCCCAAATATTCCCTTTGTGGCACGGGGTCCCGTGCATCGAAGCGGTCACATGTTTCTGGACTGCGGTCGGAAGACGTACAAGCAGCGATGCTAACGCAACATTATCCTCCTCCTCCTCTCCCTCTTCCTCCTGTTCCTCCCCCTTCCTCCCCCTGTCCTTACTCCTCCTCTCCTCCTCCTGTGATTCCTCCTCCATGCTCCCCCGCTTAGGGTATGAGGGCCCTTCATTACGCTGAAGTCTCCTCCACATCCCTGATATGGGCAAATCGTCTGGGCATCGTCTCTGGATGGGCTTTGTGGGGTCACGCGACGCGTCTAGAATTCTACTTCGCGTGCTCTTACTCTGGCCACTTGCATCCCATCTATCTGCGTTCAGGGAGCCGCAAGAACTTCGACAACCCCACAACATGGCCTTCGGGCTGCCTGTGGACGGCAACCCGGCGGTCCATGAGGCCCCACCATGCCGGGCATCGAAGGGCGGCCCGAGGACTGCCCCCCCAAAACCGGCCAAGCTGGCACCAAGAAGACCCAATGATGGCCCGAGGCTGCGAGGCGGGTCTCTCTCTCTCTCTCTCTCTTTCTCTCTCTCTCTCTCTCTATATATATATATACATATATCTCTCTATAGATATATACATGTGCATCCACATCCACCGCCTGGGGGACCGACGTCCTGGCCACCCCAGCGGGGGACGGATATGGATATGCTTCGGCCCCAGGATGCCCGAATATATCCTGATCTGCCGCCAGTTGAGGGAGGTCCTGGATAGGCCCCCGAAGGCAACGGACCCCGAACAACATCGGGACCATCCCAAAGCCACTCCCAAACCAACCTTCTCCTTCTCTTCCTCCCGACTCGTCCACCTCATCCTCCTTCCTGCCCGTTCTTTCTCGCACTATTTGCCTTCCTCTGTCCTCTCCTCCTCTGTTTTTGTTCCCCACATCCTGAGTGGGGTTCTTGTTCTCCCAGAACACCCTCTCCTTCCCACCCACCTCCCGCTCCATCTTCCATACAGCACAATATTATTCCTACCACACACACACACCATACCATACCATAGTTCCTACCACACATACCATACCATACCATACCATACCATACCATACCACACCATGCGTACCATACCGTACCATACCATACCATTGCGTGCCCCTCCCACCCCTCCAGGGAGGCCCCGCCTGAGCGAGGAGGGTATCGGAATACCATACTATTTACATGGTTTCGTGCCCCTCCCACCCCTCCAGGGAGGCCCCGCCTGAGCGAGGAGGGTATCGGAATACCATACTATTTACATGGTTTCGTGCCCCTCCCACCCCTCCAGGGAGGCCCCGCCTGAGCGAGGAGGGTATCGGAACCATACTATTTACATGGTTTCGTGCCCCTCCACCCCTCCAGGGAGGCCCCGCCTGAGCGAGGAATCTACTATTTACATGGTTTCGTGCCCCTCCCACCCCTCCAGGGAGGCCCCGCCTGAGCGAGGAGGGTATCGGAATACCATACTATTTACATGGTTTCGTGCCCCTCCCACCCTCCAGGGAGGCCCCGCCTGAGCGAGGAGGGTATCGGAATACCATACTATTTACATGGTTTCGTGCCCCTCCCACCCCTCCAGGGAGGCCCCGCCTGAGCGAGGAGGGTATCGGAATACCATACTATTTACATGGTTTCGTGCCCCTCCCACCCCTCCAGGGAGGCCCCGCCTGAGCGAGGAGGGTATCGGAATACCATACTATTTACATGGTTTCGTGCCCCTCCCACCCCTCCAGGGAGGCCCCGCCTGAGCGAGGAGGGTATCGGAATACCATACTATTTACATGGTTTCGTGCCCCTCCCACCCCTCCAGGGAGGCCCCGCCTGAGCGAGGAGGGTATCGGAATACCATACTATTTACATGGTTTCGTGCCCCTCCCACCCCTCCAGGGAGGCCCCGCCTGAGCGAGGAGGGTATCGGAATACCATACTATTTACATGGTTTCGTGCCCCTCCCACCCCTCCAGGGAGGCCCCGCCTGAGCGAGGAGGGTATCGGAATACCATACTATTTACATGGTTTCGTGCCCCTCCCACCCCTCCAGCGTCGCGAGGAGGGCATCAAGAAAATGGGTCCCACGAAACCGTTAATCTCTTTATGTGGGGAACTCCGTTAGCATAATTTCTTGATTTTTTTCTTTTTCCTCCTCCTCCTCCTCCTCCTACCCCCAGTGCAACATGACCTGAGAGGTCCCCTCATGAACGCACGGATCCAAAACAATAAATCATCCCCCTTGCTCCAGATCGCCGGGTCCACACCCTGATCGATCTATGTCACAGGAAGTGGGGCCTCAACAGTACACATAGCCCATGGCTGCGAAGAGACATCGTATGATGACACACCTGAGGGCATGCTGCAATGTGAGCTGCATCCACGGGGGGGGCGACTCAGGCTGGCACGGTGAGGTCGCATGTGTGGCACTTACTGCAAGGCCATCGATAGCCTCCGCTGGGAGAGTCGATCAGGCCAACCCTCTGGCCCCCAGAGGCCTTCTGCCAGCCGACGCCCTGCGGCAGCAGCCAGTGTTAGGTCGGTCATGTCCCCCTACAGGCAGATTTTGGGCGAAAACTTCAAAATGTTCAAAACATATCTTCATGCATACTTGCAATAGTATTAAAAACAAATCGTCCCCAGACTATTTTTGGCTATTTCTGGAGTTTCCTCCTGTAGAGCGACAGGCCCGACTTCAGGTCAGCACCGTCTGCCTCGCCTGCCGTGGACGGCCCTGGCCGGCCCGCGCCAGTGCCGAGGGCCGTCGGCTGCGGGCCGCCCGAGCCCGGCCCGCGATGAGGCTGGACGCGACCTCCACCTCGCCGGGGGGCGCGCGGGGATGGGCAGCTGTCACTGCACCGGCCTTGCAGACGTGCTGCAGCGGACTTCTGCGTGGATCTCTGCGTGGATGTTTGCCCGAAGCGGCGAGCGAAGAACGAAGTGAATTTTTCGCGTGGCCTATTTTTGGCCTTCATTCCTGGCCCAAAAAAATCTGCACGGAATTCGCCTCGGAATTCGGGACGAAAGTCTCCAGGACACTCCAGGCCCACCCTGTCGTTCTCCGAACGACATCCGCTCTGCGATGTTGGCGCCATGACAGCTGGGCGGTAGTGGCGGAAACAATTCGAGAGCCCACCCCGACCCCTGGAACCATGCAGCGCCGGCCGAGGTAACCGAGCGTGGGCGATAAGAAAGCCTACCCCCCTCCCTTAACCTCCTCTATCTTTATTATCCCCGTTCAACAGGACTTAATTGTGGAGATAGGTGCGGAGGCCGAACTTTATAATCCACCTGGGAAGTTGTGCGAATCGAAGTTGCTATAATCTCATGTTGACTAGCAACAGCATCAAAAACGCTGAAGTAGTGGCTAACATCGACACACCTGCGGCAGAAGACCCGCAGCAGGCTTTACAACATTCGCGGTGTAGGATGGGCGGGGCACGACGTGGGGCCACGGTGGGCCATCGATTGCGGGCGCTCGCCTTCGTTGGTATTGATCGGTGTCGAGGGTGCTCCCGAGGGCCGCCCGTGATTACGTCCTCATGTTCCAATGCCCGTGTGGACTCCAACGACACGCTACTGAAGCACTCGATGAGCATAGCTCCGAACTCGAATGAGCACGCCCTCGGCGTGCGAAACGAGCGCGCTCGCCGCGCCTTCCATCTGGTCCGCGCTGTTCACGCGTTGCTCAAGGCGTGGCCAAAGGCATCCTGATTTGATTGGTCAGCTCCTGGATAGGAACAAATCCGCTGGCCCCCTTGTGGGGCCACCAGGCTGTAGGCCTAAGGTTCGCAAGTTCCTGTACCAGTTGCAGCTTCCAGTTTCCACTGTCACAGTTCTGCTTCTTGCTGCTTACTGTTCCTTGTTACAGTTCTGCAATTTGGCGAGGGGGGGGAGCCCCACAACGGGCATTTTTACCACGCTCTGAGCGTGTGCTCTGAATTGCTGGGGTGGGTAAAAATTGACACCCCTCACGCAGATCGGCGGGGTCAGCGTCCAAAAACAAGTGGGATTTGCCACATGTCTGACTTTCGGTGGCACCCCTCACGCAGATCGGCGGGGTCAGGGTGCGAAAACGTAAAGGTTTTGCCACATGTCTGAAATGTGCTGGCACCCCCTCACGCAGATCCGTAGGGTCAGGGTCCAAAAACACATGGGATTTGCCACATGTCTGACATTCAGTGGCACCCCTCACGCAGATCGGCGGGGTCAGAGTGCAAAACGTAAAGAATTTGCCACATGTCTGAAATGTGCTGGCACCCCCTCACGCAGATCCGTAGGGTCAGGGTCCAAAAACACATGGGATTTGCCACATGTCTGACATTCAGTGGCACCCCTCACGCAGATCGGCGGGGTCAGGGTCAAAACGTAAAGAATTTGCCGTGGCACCCGTCACGCAGATCCGTAGGGTCAGGGTCGAAAAACAAACAGTCGCCACACTGCTCACGGCGGCGCCCCAGACCTTCATGAATTAGCTTTTGCATCTCCATTATCCGAGACAGGGGGCCAGCGCACGGGGCGAAGCCCTTACGGATGTCAGAATCAAACAAAATGGTAGGAGCTAAGGGCGGACGGAGGTTTCAGAAAGGGTGAAGGAGGATGGAGGAAAGCGAGGGGGAGGTCGAGAACGAGGGCCAGCGAAAGGCGTATGAACGGGGAGTGAGGAAAGGAGGAGGAGCGAGGAGAGAGGAGGGAGGAGGAGGAGGAGGCGGAGGAGGAGGAGGAGGAGGAGGTGGAGGAGGAGGCGGAGGAGGAGGAGGGGGAGGAGGGGGAGGAGGAGGAGGCGGAGGTGGCGGGGGAGGAGGAGTGAGGAGGAGGAGGAGGGGGAGGAGGAGGGAGGAGGGGGGGTAAAAAGGAGAGGTGGTATATTTTATTCATTCAACGATTAAATAAATGGCACCTCTCGGGGGGGCGGCTTCCGACCTCCGCCGGCCTGCCGCCGGCAGAGGTGCCCCTCGCTTCCCTTCCGCCGGCCTCCGCTGGACCTCCTCAGTCGCCCTCCTGCCGAGGAGGAAAGGCGTCAAGCCCTCGACCCCCCGAACGCGATGCCCTTGCTGCGACGGAGGAGGAGGAGGGGGAGGAGAGGAGAAGGAACGAGTAGGTTGTAGGGTAGGGTAGGACCCGAAGTATAAAGCAGGCTACCATATGACATAGATCGGATGCTGGGTGAGGGGGGGGAGGAGGAGGAGGAGGAGGAGGGGGAAAAGGAGGAGGGTGAGTTTTATTTATTCTTCAACGTTTAAAAAATGGGCACCTCTTCGGGGGGGCGGTTCCGACCTCCGCCGCCTGCCGCCGGCAGAGGTGCCCCTCGCTTCCCCTACGCCGGGCCCCGCTGGACCTCCTCGGTCGCCCTCCTGCGAGGAGAGGGCGTCACGCCCTCGATCCCCCGAAGCGAAATGCCTTGCAGCGACGGGAAGGGAGGAGGGGAGGAGGAGGATGATGGTCGCATGTGTGTAGAGTAGGAGTAGGAGTAGAGAGTCGGAGGAGGAGGAGGAGGAGGGGATGGGAGGGGAGGAGGAGGAGGAGGAGGAGGAGGTGGAGGAGGGGAGGAGGAGGATATGGGTGGAGGAGGAGGAGGGAATGGGTTGGAGGAGGAATGGGTGGAGGAGGAAAAGAAGGGAAAGGGAGGAGGAGGAGGAGGTGGATGAGGAGGAGAAGGGCGAGTGGGTGGAGGAGGAGGAGGAGGTGGAGGAGGAGGAGGAGGAATGGGTGGAGGAGGCGGTAGGAGAGTAGGAGGCGGAGGAAATGGTTAGGTTAGAGGAGGAGGAAGAGGGAGGAATGGGTTGGAGGAGGAGGAGAATGAGGAGGAGGAGGAGTAGGAGGAGGAAGATGAGGAGGAGGAGGAGGAGAAGGAATTGGGGAGGATGAGAGGTAGGAGGAGGAGGAGAAGGACGCAGGAGGAGGAGGGGATAGCAGGAGGAGGCGGCGGGGGGAGAGGAATAGGAGGGGGAGGAGGAGGAGGAGGAGTAGGATGAGGAGGAGAAGAAGGAGGAGGAAGGGGGGAGATCCGGGATGGCCCCCCACGGTCGGTGTTTGGAGGACCTGAAGGGGGGTCAAGCTGAAATGGGGTGGTGCAGCAGCTCTGTAGGATGAGGAGGAGAAGAAGGAGGAGGAAGGGGGGAGATCCGGGATGGCCCCCCACGGTCGGTGTTTGGAGGACCTGAAGGGGGGTCAAGCTGAAATGGGGTGGTGCAGCAGCTCTCGGGCAATCGCATTGCAAATGTAGTGCGCCAGAGACTTGCATTGAATTGCATCGTATTGCAACCCATGCGTTGCACGCTCCTGTAATCCATTTGCGCACCGGAATGCGCACCCCACATCTGTTGCAACACAAATCTACTGCACCATATATATATATATATATATAACACATACAATGTATAGATGTGTATAATATATTATATATATATATATATTTATATATATATATTATATATTATATGTATATATATATATATATATATATGTTTTGCACCACCCTCTATTCGCTGGCCCTTTCTAGGGTCAATCAGAGGGTGGGCGCTCGCCGTTGGCCACGAGGGAGTTCGCTGCTTTTTTCAGCAGCAGCAGCTCCCCAGAGATCCGATGTCGTGATTTGTTCGATGCTGGGTCCCTGGAAGCCTCGACCCACTCCCCAGGACCGGTTTTTCCAGTCTGAGTCTCTATGTTCGTCGGTCCCGAGGCCAGGCGAGGGCCCCCCCCAGAGGCCGAAAGTTTAGAACAACCTCCGTCTTGATGTTTTCAATGCGTTGGACCTCTGGGTCGCTATCGCTCTCAACCGCGCCTGCGCTCGCTGCGACGACCATCGACGGAAGCCAAGGCGACGAGGCCAATCTGTTGCCCCTTCTGGACCACCAGCGCGAACTCCACTGGACAGAGGCTCGCGGGCGTCTGCAGCCACAGCCACTGCTGCCCGAATGGGGCGCGCAGACGAAGGCCCGGTGGGGCTCGTCCGGCCACGGCGGCCCTCGGCAACGAGGCGGTTCTCCGAGCGAGGCCTGCGCGGCCACGAGCAGAGGGTGATGAGCGTGTTTTCCACCACCACCACCATAAGTTGGAGGGGGGGGGTCCTCCTCCTCCTCCTCCTCCTCCTCCTCCTCCTCCTCCTCCTCCTCCTCCTCCTCCTCCTCCCCCTTCGCCCCATCCAACTTATGGTGGTGGTGGAAAACGCGCTCATCAGAGGGGGGAGGGGACTGAGAAGGAGAAGGCCTTCTCAGAATAAACGGGCGAAGAACGGTATCGAATAAACTTTCTCGCTGTCGGGGGCGCCTGTCCCTGGGCGGCTGGAAAGTTGATACCCTTTCGGTGGCACCGTAGGGGTTACAAACTTTCCAGCCGCCCAGGGACAGGCGCCCCCGACAGCGAAACTTGTACCGTCCTTCGCTCGCTGACAGGAGGCGGCAGAACTTCTCAGAAACCCTCGCGCCCCATGAAGGAGGGTGCCCTGTGTCTTCGGGAAGGCCGGGGGAGGCCCGCCCCTTCCCGCTTTCCGCCCCCTGGCGCGCCGCCGACCCGAGGAACGGCGGCCCGGGAACCGGAGACCCCCGGAGCCCCGAGCGGTCTTCGGCTCGGCGTCCGGACCGCACTCGCGAGCTCGCACAGCGCCCACGCTGCGAGTTGGAGACAGCGAAGGGTGGAGATAGCGAAGGGTGGGGCTGCGAGTTGGGGGCCTGGGGGTTGGAGGCGGAGGAGGAGAGAGCAGAGCAAGTGGAGGAGTCACCTGGCAGTTGGCCTAATAGTCAAGACAGGCAACATGGTGGGACGCGGGGCAGCACGTGTGAAGAGGAAGGGGCGGGGATTGGAGGTGTGTGTGTGTGTGTGTGAGGGGCCCTGTCCATGTCCCTTCGCCTCTCCTCGCCTCTCCTCTCCTCTTCTCCCTTCCACCCCGCTTACAGTGCGACTGGGGATGCGCGGTAAGGATGCACGGCCCGTGGACTCCTGGGTTGAAACCTTCTTGACGGGGGTGGTCAGCGAAAACGGCCGAAGATGGCCCGAAGAGGCAGGGATGCAAGGGTATCCTTGGCAAGCTACATTCCTTGAAGACTCTGCCTGGCCACACCATGGATCCGAACGACGAAGGGTCCCTCCGATGCTCCCCAGACCTTGGAGGCGCCGGGGTGCTTGTACACGCCGCCGCTCAGCAGACACATCCGCAGCACGTCGATGGGCGGCAGGCGCTCCTTTGCCCCCCACTTTGGGGCCAGCGCCGCGCGCTGGAGGCCACGGTTGCGGCGCGGGGCCTGGCGCTCCGCGCCGAGATCTGTCGGCAGCACTCGAGTAGGGGATCGACTACAGAATTGATGTATCCCAAACTTGATTTGTCCGTCGAATCCAAAGAGATGCGTAGAAATAATGCCTTGGTAATCAACAGCAGAAGGATTCCTTGTACATGCGGCCCCAAAAAATCATTGCAATCCACCGTGAAAGGCATCCGTTAGTTCGTACTCTGCCATGAAAGGAATCCGTTTGAATTCTGCCACAAAACGACTCCGATTGCATTCAGCCGCAAGGGAGACCCGTTTGCACTCAGCCACAAAAAGATTCCTGGTGTAATCTGACACAGAAGGAATCAATCCTCCAGGCCACAAAAAAGATCCTTTGTATTCAGTCCCAAAGTGAATCCTCTTGTATTCCGCCACAAAGGGAACCCTCATGTATTCGGTCACACAAAGATTCCCTGTATCTCCCGCCAAATAACGGACCCCTTGGTAATCAACCACAGAGGATTCCTTAGGAATTCGGCCACACAAAGAGTCCCGTTGCAATCAAGAACAAACAAAATCCCACTCTATTCCGCCACAGAAAGAATCCTTGAGGCTTCCAGCCACAACAAGATTTCTGTTGTATTCCCCCGCGCACGGAACCCTGCATATTTCGCATAAGAGGAATGCGTTCGATTTCTGCCACAAAAGGAATCCTATTGTGTTCCGCCGCAGCGGGAACCCATGTGAATTCCGCCGCAAAGGGATTCTTGGGGAATCCGAACTCGATACTCCGAATTGAAAGTTAAAGGAACTGGCGCAATACAAAGGGATTTTCTCTCTGGTGGAATACGAAAGGTTTCATGTGAGTAGTGTGAAACATGCTTTATTTTTCTGAGTCGAACACACATCGATTTCCTGCATGGCGGGCTTACAGACAGATGTCGACCGCTGCTTCGTTGGACAAAAAAGAAAAAAGAAAGCGCTCAAGCCGCCCAGGCCTGTATCGTGCCTGGCGCCCGTCCTCCTCCTCCTCCTCCTCCTCTTCCTCCTCCTCCTCCTTCTCCTCCTCCCTCCCTCCCTCCCTCCCTCCGCCTCCCTTCTCCTCCTCCTCCTCCTCCTCCTCCTCCTCCTCCTCCTCCTCCTCATGCAGCAGCAACGGCAGCGGGAGACGACGAGGGTGCGGGAGGGCGAACGGCCGACCGCGGGGTCCTCCTCGGCGCCCGCGTTGTGCGCGGCCACGGCGGCCGCGATGGCCCCCCCGGCCACCTCGTGAACGTTTTTCGGCGTTTCGGCATTGGGCGGAAAGGTGGGGGGAGGGGGGGGGGGGATCTGGCTCCGGACCTCTGCTTAGTGTGACTGTTTGCAAGAGTGCGTCCATCATGGGGGAGGCTCCACCTGCTCGAAACAGGCGCCCAAAGCAGCCAAGATCTACTCCATTGGGGGGAGGGGGGGGGTGCGAGGGCCCGCGCCGATCGGCAAAACAACAAATAAAAAAACGACCACCTCCAGGACGGCGAGGAAGTCCTGCTTGGACAGGTCGTCCTCAAGGGGCCCATGGGGGCACAAGCAGATCGACACACCTCCCAGGAATCCTCCGTATTTGTTCCCGTCTTTCCTGGATCTTCTTCAACTCCCACCCATCTTTCCGTATGAGGTAACTGCTCGGAGGTCTTCGTCGGAAGGACTTAGAAATCATTCGTTTCCATTGGGGGGCTGCTACGCCGGATTAGGCCGCGGATTAAACAGGATTAACCGGAATTAAGCGGGATCAAGCCCGATTACAAGGAATTAAGCCGAATATCGGACCAGGGCAAAGTCAGAATGTGACCTTCCAGGAATTGCATCCGAACTTTCCCATATTTCCGCCTCCGCCATACAAATCCGCGTTTATGTGCGTGTGTGTGCGTGTGTGTGTGTGTGTGTGTGCCTTTGTGTGTGTGTGTGTGTGTGCGTGTGTGTGTGTGTGTGTGTGTGTGTGTGTGTGTGCGTGCGTGCGTGTGTGTGTGTGTGTGTGTGCACGTGTGTGTGTGTGTGTGCGTGTGTGTGTGCGTGTGCGTGTGTGTGTGTGTGTGCGTGTGTGTGCGTGTGTGTGCGTGTGTGTGTGGGTTTGTGCTGATATGTCCCTCCCGTCGTCCTGCTCCCTGCGGCCCTTCTTGCGCCTGCCGCCGCCTCGGTCGCGCCGGGGTGGGCGGGGCCCGCCTTCGCCGCCCTGGAGGCGAGGGGCGAGGGGGCGAGGTCGAGGAACGTGACGGCGAACGAGCAGCCATCTATGGCTCAATAGCGGACGGCCGTCATCTGTGGCCACCATCTGCGGCTCAACAGCGGGCTGGCGAGCCCCACCGGCAAAGCTAGTCTCAGCGCCAGCACTTTTTGTCGCACCTTCAGATTGCCACGTCAAGGGATGTGAAGGCGAACGAGCAGCAGCACCGAAATGAACCAGGCACGACAACTATTTGGTGTGTGTGTGCTTGCTTCCTCCCTCTCTCTCTCTCTCCCCCTCTATTCCCCAATCAGTGCTTGCACTGCAGGGGCCCTAGCGGATATTGAAAGAATTGGTGAACATTCGCCACCGATTTCGTTAGGCGGCCGGGTTCCTGGATTCCCAATTCTGGGTTCGGGGCTCTGGGTTCCAAAATGGTTTTGGAAGAAATTCGCTGCCTGTCGCCTATAGACGTTCGGGTTCCCGGGTCCCCGTTCTGAGTGCCGGGTTCCCGTTTCGTTCCGGATTGGTTTCGGTGGGCGATTGGGTTCCTGGTTCTAGGTTCTGGGCTCCCGCTTCCGAGTTCGGGATTGGTCTCGGTGGGCGGCTGGGTTCCTGGTTTCTGGTGCTAGGGTTCGCCATCGATGTAGATGTGTATACATACAAACAGATCGATATATATATATACATACATACATACATACATACATATCTATACGTACACAAATATATATACCATGAAGAAGGAGAGGGGGGATACGGAGTGTATATGTCACATGAGGCATGCGTATATATATATATGTACATATATATGCATGTATGTATACATGTGTGTACAATACGTGTGCTTCTACATATATGCATGCATGTGTGAATGGAGGCATGCATGTATGCTTGTATGTGTGTAGGTATGTGTATATGTATATGTATGTGTTTGTGTGCATGCACACATGCATGTCTGTATACATACATGTATGTATGCGTGTGTGTGTGCTTGTGTATGTACGTATGTGTGTATGCATGCATGTATGTGTGAATGGATGTACTTATATATGCATGCATGCATGTATGCATGATTATATAGATATGTTTGTTTGTTTGTTTGTATGTATGTATGTACGTATGTATGTATGAGAGAGAGCGTTTCACGGGGGCTTGCCTTCGAACCAGGGGGTGGGCACCCCCTCCCCAACACCCGGCGCCGTCGATCAAAACCAGGGCCACTCCCCTCCCCCCAAAACACCCCCCTCCAGAACCCCCCCCCTTCCAAGGAAATGGGGGGGTTTAAACCCCCCCCTCTCGGCGCCGGCGCCAGCGCTGGCCGCCGCCAGCAGCGCCGACGGCGGGAACGCAGCGACGATGACCAGAGGCAGCCCAAGGGAAGGGGGGGGGTGTTTGAACCCCCCCCAGCCCCTAGCGCCGACGGTGGGGGGTTTGAACCCCCCGCCCTGGCGCCGGCGCTGGCGCTGGCGGCGGCCAGCAGCGCCGGCGCTGGCGCCGGCGACGGCGGTGACGCAGCGACGATTACCACCACTATCACCACCACCACTACCACAACTACCACCGCCTCAATCCACCACCACCGCCACCACCAACCCACCACACAACCACCACCACCACAGCCACCACCACCAGAACCACCACCGCCACCACAACTCACCATCACCACCACCACCACAAAAACCCACCACAATTTCCACCACCACCTAAATCTACCACGCCATCACTACCACCGCCACAAACACCACCACTACCAGCAGCACAACCCACAGTCACCACCACAAACCACCACACCACCACCACCACCAGCAGCACCACCACCACCACAAACCACCGCCACCACCACAATCCACCACCACCACCACCAACCACCACCCCACCACCACCACACCACCACAAACACCACCACCACATCTCACCATCACCACCACCACCACCTCAAAACCACACCACCACTACCACCACCACCACAATCTACCACACCACCACCACCACCACCACCACCGCCACTCCCACCACCACTACCAGCAGCACAACCCACCACCACCACAAACCACCACACCACCACCACCACCGCAACCACCATCACCACCAGCACCACATCCACAAACCACCGCCACCACCACAACCCACCACCACCCCCACCACGAACCACCACACCACCACCACCAAACAACTACCACCACCACCCACCACCACCACCACCACCACAAACCACCACCACACCAACACCAAACCACCACCACCACCACCCACCACCACAACCACGACCACCACAACAAACCACCACACCACCACCACAACCACCACCACCGCCACCACCACAACAACCACCACCACAACCTTCGTCCTCGTCGACGCTCCCCGCCGCCGCCCCGCCGCCCGCCGCCGCAGGCCCCGGCGCTGGCCCAGAAAAGAAAATCGTTGTCCCCGCCGCCGCCGCCAGCCGCCGCCGACGCAAGCGCCGGCCCGAGGAGAGGGGAAGTAGGGAAGGGGGGGGGGGGGTCGGAGTCTCGAACCCCCTCACCACCCCGTCACGGGAGGGGGGGAGGGGGGGGGTTCGACCCCCCCCCCCCTCCCATCCCCCCCCCCCTCCATCCAGGGGGGGGTCCGGTTCCACCCCCCCTCCTCCAAGCGCGACCACAGAACGCGCTCGTTCGTATAGATGTGTATGTGTGTGTGTTTGTATGTGCATGTATGTTTGTTTGTGTATAAATGTGTATATATGTATGTATGTATGTATGTATGTATGTATGTATGTATGTATGTATGTATGTATGTATGCATGTTTACGTATGCGTACATGTATGCATGTATGTGTTTAGACACGCACGCATGGTTATCTATATATATATATATATATATGTACGAGCCCATCCACGGAATGCTTTTCTGCCGCAATACATATACATGAAATATATGTGTGTGTATATGTGTGTCTACGTGTGCGTGTGCTGCTATATTTTGTTCTCTGCCGCTTTTGTGTTTCTCTCTCTCACACACTCTCCCTCCCTCTCCTCCTCATCTAAGGAGTTGGCGCCTGGGCACGCTAGCTCAAGGCAAGCTGCAAGCGAGTTGAAGGCACGATTGGCAGGCTTGAATCAAACTCTGCAGGCTTGGGAGAATGTTCTCCTGACGCAGGTCCACGGGCCAACGCCGGCTTGTAGCCGGTCGCATGCCAGTGAGAGCGAGGTCCAGTGGGTTTGCACAACATAGCTTGCACCACACAGCTTGCACCACATACGTTGCACCACATAGCACTCGGACTGCACCGACGTGCGCAGCAGCCATGGCCAAAAGACAGGCGCAACTGACAGATACAACGAGCAGACGTAAACGAATAGCACAAACAGCAGCACATACGCAGCACACGCACAACTATACCATACGCGGTGAACGCTTTGATATGGCAGGGGCACGATGGCCGTCATAAGCGACGGATGCAACGGCCATTCAGAAAGGACATGATCATACAATGCACGAATGCTGCACATGCCAAGGTTGTGCGCAAAGGGCAGGCACGCATTACAGACACAGAGGGTACAATGTGCAAAAGCGCTACGAATGCTTGATGGGATCCTCGGGACACATAAGCACCGTATCTTTATATGCTCGTGTATATGCTCGTTCTGGGAACCTTCCTGGACCTTTACTCATAAGCCGTCGCTACGTCGAACGCCCGTCGACTCGAATCGAACATGAGTCTAACTTGAATCGAGCTAGAGCCGAACCAGAGTCGAACAAGCCCATTGGGTGGGCCCAGGGAATGCCCCGCGCACACACACAAGCATTCAAGTGTTTGGAAACCGTGGGGGCGGAAAGGGGACGGGGAGGAGGAAGCAAGAGGCGGACGCGATCGCAGCGGGGCCCCGGCCAAGCTCGGACCAATGGGGGAGATCGCAGGGCCCCGCGCGGGAACGCCCCACTGGCGACGAGAGCACGAGAGCCGCCCCGTACAGCCGGCGTGCTGAGGCCACCGCAGTTTGGCCCTATCGCGTACACCTGTGGGGGAGAGAGGGAGGCGCATCCGTTCGTCGCCAGGGAAGGCCTTTTTTTCTGGCGGAGGGGAGAAGGATGAGGATGAGGAGGAGGAGGAGGATACGACGCTGCAGGGGAATTGTTCTGAGGAGGAGAAGGAGGAGGTGCGTGCGTCAGCATGGGGGCCCGATGCGGCCCCGCTGGAACCGAGCAGAGCGAAGGGGCCCACCCTACAGGTTCGGTCAAACAACACGTCGTTGAGCGATGCTGCAGCCTCCCCGGAACACAGGCCCCCCCAGAGCATCAGCCAGACAAGTCGGGTGTGCATCTTCATGCCTTTCTGGACTCTGGGCTCCTGCCGATCTCGTCAGGGCCAGCGGCCAGGTAGGGAGCAACAGCGGCCGACGCGTCTCAAGCCCCGGCCTCTCTGGAGCGTCAGCCAGACGGGTCGGGTTTGCACCCTAATGCCTTGCTGGGCCCGAGGGGCAGGGCACCGTGACGGGACGACGGCAACCAGCAGCAACAGCAAGCAGCACAGAGGCGCGTCAGCATGGGGGCCCGATGCGGCCCCGCTGGAACCGAGCAGAGAGAAGGGGCCCACCCTGCAGGTTCGGTGCAACAACACGTCGTGAAACGAAAACATCGACTACGTTCGGGGAGAGGATGCCGAACCGCGCCCAGAGACTAGCAAGGCATGAGGAGGAGGATGAGGAGGAGGAGGAGGGAGTGGCGGGGGGGGGAGGAGGAGGAGGAGGAGACGAAGGAGGAGGTGGAGGAGGAGGGGCGATTAGAAAGGGGGTGGGAAGGAGTGAAAGGAGGAGGAGGAGGAGGAGGAGGAGGAGGAGGGGCGATCAGAGTGGAAGTGGGAAAGTGGAAGAGACCAGCGTCGAAAGCCTCAACGCCGCGACGCTGGGCCGCGGCGCACGAGTCATAGGCCCTGCACTGCGAAGGCTTGAGCTGCACGTTCTAAAGACCGTAGAAGGGAGGAGCGGATGGACAGGAAGAGGGAGAGAGGTCTGGGGGGGGGGGGAGAACACGCCAGGAGGACTGAAGGGAGGGAGGGAGGAGTGGAGGGAAAACAGGGAGCCTCCCTCTCTCCCTCCAGTCAGACTCCCCTCCCCCCTCCCCCCAGCTCGGTCCTCCATCAGGGAGGGAGGGAGGGATGGTAGGAGGGGAGGAAGAACCAGAGGGAGGGAGGGGAGGAGGAAGGGGTGGAGGGGACGAGGAGAAGCGAGAGGGAGCGAAGAGAGGGAGAGAGAGAGAGAGAGAGACGGCCGAGTGAAGCGGTGCGCAACACTGAGCAGTGCCCCCTCCGCGGTAGCACTGTCAAGGGGCCCTCCGCGGCATAAGGCAATCTTTAGATAACGGGGGTCTGGGTTGCACTCGGCATGGCCCTAATAAGATACAACCGCGGCGCCTGCAATCTCAAAAGACAGGCTTGGTTGCTGGGAGCGTGAGACACGGTGGGCTTACAGTGTTGCCAAGACACTGGCCGGCCGGCCGGTGGATGTCACGGTCGCTCCGTTAGAGGTCCATGTTGTACGGACTGTCATCGGGTCAAAGCAGGGACCTCGAGCCAAGCCATGGGCGTGGCGCTGTGGCGTGGGCGCGTGTGAACGGCCGCGCGCACCTCGTGTGTCGCCACTGCCGCGCATCGTGCTTAACCAGTGCACCAGCATGTGGGAGTGCCCCAGCACGTCCGGCGAGCGACAGCGACGCCACTTGCTGCTGCAGCATGGCGTTACAGTCAACACGCTGACATGAGGGCCACTTTGATCTCAGGAGGGGCTCTGGTTTCTGAGCCGTTCGTTAGAACTAGGTCGGAGAACCCAATCGCGACTGAGGCTCGCCGTGGCCTGAAAATCCCCATCGTTTCTTGCTGAGCGTTCCTTCTGGCACCAGGTGCCCCAGAGATGACAACAACTCACGATTTCACCAACCAACCTCGAACCCGCGCCGCCCCGCGATGCAGCCGGGACTGAACTGAGCGCCAAACCAAGACATATTCCACAGCACGCCGAATAGCCTAGATGTCCCTCTCAGAGCTCAGCCCCATCTGCGTCTCAACTCATTGCCGAGACGCTCGCCATGGCAGGAAGGACGCAACGTGCGAGCGGCAATCCAACCGTGATGGCCACCCTTCCGCGCGTTTACGCGCGCAACAACGGGAAGGCGTTCCGAGCAAATCCCACCAACCCTTATCCTTCCCTCTTCCCAAACCCCTCCTTCCCATATTCGATGAGGGGCGGCACAGATGTTCCTTAATAATATACACCCCCTCCCCAATACGACTGGCGACAAACCCGGCCGCCATCCTGATCAAACACAATGGCACAGCGCAGCGGTTGGTGACAGGGACGGCGGGGGAGGGGGCCTCCCCAACCACCTACCCAGAAGAGAAGGAGGAGGAGCAGGCGGAGGAGGAGGAGGGAGGCGGAGGAGGAGGGAGGCACCTCGTGGGGGCCTCCCATACCTTCTTGCGGCCCCTGCGAACCGAAGCTGGTCGACGCTAAATCGACGCTAACCGACGCTGATCGACGCTGAATCGGTTTTACCTCATCGGCTACCGAGCGCCAGTCGACGCCAATGCGCTCTAAAGGGCGGAATTACGTGGTTACCGGCTACAGGTGTAGGAGGAGGAGGAGGAGGAGGAGGAGGAGGAGGAGGAGGAGGAGGAGCGGCCCTGGGCAAAAGCACGACCGTTGGTGCGCGGCTCTAGGTGGGCGCAGGGAGGCTACACCCAGCCGCGCAAGCCGTGGCCATCGCATCGCATGCAGCGAGCGGTGGACCCCAGGGGGCCAGCACCAAAGGTCACTCTGGCGAAGGTAGGGAACCGAACTCTATACACCGACGCTTTTTCCGACCCTGCGCTGAAGTTCGCGCGGGAACGCGGATACTGGTGTATACAGGATCCTGGTGTATACATGTTTCGTTGTTTCCCAGCGAAAACGGGGAAACAGTATACTCCAGACCACCCCGACGTCGTTCCTGACCCTCTAAAAGTCGTAGGATTGAAAAACGGCCCGCCACTGGTCATGTATATGTTCCAATTTCCGAGAAATGTCACTCTTACGAATAGTAGACGGTGCACATTCGCATTCGGTCGGGCCGGTCCCCCTACGGGCGGATTTTGGACGATTTGTTGTTCCCCAAGAATGCCCCACCGTAGTCCAAAAGTTATCAACAGATCGTCCCCTGACCATGGTTTGCATATTTTTAAATCGTTCACTGCACGGACCTTGCAGACGTGCTCTAGCGGATTTTTGCGTGGATTTCTGCCCATGCAAAACCCCGAAACAACGAGTGAAAAACGAAGTAAATTTCGCGTGGGGCTTTTTATTTTCATTCCTGACGAACAAACAAAACCCACACGAAATTAACCTCGAAATCTGGGGGGGGGCACCCTATTGTTGTTCGGACGAAATCCGCTCTGCGATGTTGGCGCCATGAGCCTTGATATTAGCATGGAAGAAACGGGTCCCGAAGGAAACGGGTGCTGGATCCCGGGGCCTTCACCCGGAGGAGGAGGAGGAGGAAGAGGAGGATGGCCAAGAGAGCCCGAAAAACCTCAGGACCCGTTTCCCTCTGGACCCGCCTTGGGGAAACGCAGAGGTACCGATACCGCTACACCCCGGACCTCTCCGGGGGTGCGTTCTGACCAGCACTTCGAGGTGAATCCAGCGGTGGCGGACAAGGGACTCCTAGGAGGCCCAGACAAGGGAAAACGAGGGAAGTGTAGCGGTATGGGTACCTTGTCCTCCTCCGACGTTTCCCCTATGGCGCATACACCCTGCGAAATGCTTAGGAAATCATGGGTTAAGAAATTCATAGTCTCAGAATTTGAATAAACCCCCCAATTTCTACTAACAACTTAGGTTTTCCGTTGAAACAACAAGAATCAAGACTCTGGCCGAAACCTTACGTTTTCTTGAGCATCGCCCATGGCGAATACGTAGCTCCCACGACCTGCCACCGAACGGAGCGTGGTCCCGCCCCCGCTGCGGGCGCGCACCATGGCGACGTTCCGGTCGCTGCCGCACGGCCTGCGGCCCGGGGGGAAGACGGCCACCGACGCCATGCCCACGGGCTGCAGCGGCTCCACGAGGGGCCCCTCGAGGAGGCAAGGCAGAAACCCAAGCTGCACCAGCGCAGTGGATCCGTGCGGCGTCGGCGCGCGCCAAGGTGTTCGACACCGCGCCGATCGTGAAACCTGGAACCGATATCGCTCAACATTGGATTCCGTCGGGTCCAGTGGCGTTAAAGTGACCCTCGGTGCTTCCGCGTCGCAGAATGCAGCCTTGAACGCCTTCGGCTGGCGTCGCCGGCGCGCCAACGGCACATGAACCTACCTAAGGGCTCCCAACTTCGCGCTTCGCGCTGCGCGAAGCGCGAAGTGCGAATAACTTCGCCCTCTCGCGCCGCCTCCCAGGGGAGAAGAGGAGGACGAGGAGGAATCGGAGCCGAACCGCGAAGCGCGAAGCGCGAATAACTTCGCGCCCTCGAGGGCGCCCTTGCTACCGTACGCAACACGCAACACGTGGCGTGCTGACACGGAGCTCAGCGCGCAGCCCGGGAACGCAGGTCTGGCGCGATGCGTTCGCCAAGACGTGCCGAACCAACACGGGGATGCGTCGACCCCTATCCCAGGCTCCGTGAGGTTTTCGAGAGGATCAACAATTTGGGGCCCAACCCTGGGATATGCGAGGGGGGGGCGTCCATCCTCGACAGGGGTGCGTCCGAATAGCCCCCTCGGGATGTATCCCAAGATTCCTCCCCTTTTCTGAGCGACCAAACTTTTCTGGCGGAAGTCGGGGATTGGGGGAGAGAAATCGCCTGCGACGGTACGTGTTGCGTTTCAGAATGGGCGTATCCAGGCAGCCAAGGGCAGAAACAGTCAGCATCGGCTCCGGCAATAGGGTCGAATCAGAACCTGCGTCGGATCGGCCTGCATCGGCACGGCATCGAAATGGAGTCGGATCGGCTGCGCTGGGATGCACAGCATCGCCATGCGTAGGGCCACATCAAGTCGTCGAAATGTTGGGATCGGATGGGATGGGAGCGAGTCCGCTGGAATATCGAGATCGACTCGGATCGATCGGATCGAGATGTGCTCAGCAGGGTGAGGGGGCGGGGCAGGGGAGGCTTGTGGGGACCCTGGTGTGCCCGCACCAGGGGTCACCCCAGAGAAAAGTCACTCTTAGAAGTGCAAAGGGGTGGGCGGCAACGAAGGCCAGGCGTGGTCTCCCGGGACGCGCGCGCGTGCCGCTGCCCCCATGCGTGGAAAAAAGTGGGATGATGACGATAACAATGGCGATGCCGAAGACGATGACGATGGCGACGACGATGGCTATAATGATGATGATGATGATGATGATGATGATGATGATGATGATGATGATGATGATGATGATGATAATGCTGATGATGGTGCTGCTGATGATGATGGTGATGGGTGATGAGACTGATGATGATGCTGCTGATGATGATGACGATGGTAATGGTGACGATGTTAATGATGATGATGATGATGATGATGATGATGATGATGATGATGATGATGATGATGATGATGATGATGATGATGGCGATGATGACGGTTATGCTGATAATGATGATGATGATGAGGGTGATGATGAAGACGATGATGGTGATCAAGATAAGGATGATGATGATCCTACTGACGATGACGATGGCGATGATGCTGATGATGATGATGATGATGATGATGATGATGGTGATGATGGTGATGCTGATGCTGATTATGGTGATTGTGATGGCGCGGACTCCAGGTTTCGGGGAATGATGATCGGCCCAGACATGACCAGCTGGAAGTCCGCGCGGATCTCTCGAGTCGGCGCTGGACCCCCTCCGGCGGCGCCTCGGGGCGACGAGGAAGAAGCCGTGCATTCCAGCCAAGGCCCACCGACGCCGAAGCGGCCCTGACCCTCTCCCGGGGTGCCCGACCGAACGCGGTTGCGGAGTTGCGCAGCAGCGCCGCTGGGCAGGTGGCCTGCTGGGCCACAAGGGCTGCGCGCCACAATCCCACCGGCCCTTTGGGCGACAGGTGGTCTAAGGAGGGACTCTTTTCTCTTCCTCGACCCATCTTCCCTTCGGGGAGGGGAACCCTTCCCCTCCCCTCCCTGAAGTTTGTTTGAAGGGATCGCGTCACCCATCAACTCACATGGGCATCGCTTCTGGATGGGCTGGTGGGGATACTTTTTTGTTCAGCGGCCCGCAAGGAAAGGTCCAGAGGGCGTGTCGAGCTGGTGGGGATACGCGAAGCGTCAAGAATTCCATCGTCCTGTGTCTCATGTCCTTGGCCTCGTGGCTGCGCTTCCGCCTCCTCTCTCCTCCAGTTCCTCGTGCTTCCAGCTCTGGGTGGGGAGGGGCACGCAGGGGAGGCATGGGGCAGGAACATGGATAGAAGCAGAGACAACGGCATAAACGTAAACTTTTGAAGGCCCGCGCGGGCCTCTTGAACCTGCGCTGAACACCCCTCCCTGGCGCGCTCCGCTTTCGCCAGGGAGGGGGGTAGGGACGGAGGCTTGTCCATCACCACACGCTTTCATCCAGCCCTCGGTCAACAGGCAAGCACGCAGCCCCGTTTCGCGCCAGCATCTGGGCTGGAGGTGTTTTTCGTTTGCTTCCTTGCCGTCTCCCCTGTGCCGTGCGCCTGTCGAGGGAGCCCGCGGCCTGTCGGCCCGCTGCCTGGCGCCTCGAATGCTTGCTCCCGCGGCTTGCCCATGCAAGAGGAGGCGGGGCGGAGGAGGGGGGTCAGGAGGAGGAGGAGGAGGAGGGGAGGAGGATAGGAGGAGGAGAGGAGGAGGGGAGGAGAAAGAGGAGAGGAGGAGGAGGAGGAGGAGTAGGAGCAGGAGTAGGAGATAGGAGGAGGGGGGGAGGAGGAGGAGGAGAAAGGGAGAGGAGAGGAGAGGAGAGGAGAGGAGAGTGAGAGGAAAGGAGAAGGAGGAGGAGGAAGAGAAGGAGGAGGAGGAGTGGTGGGAGGAGGAGAGGGGGGAGGAGGAGAGAGGAGAGGAGAAGGAGGAGGGAGGAGGAGGAGGAGGTTGAGGGACGGAGAGAAGATCTGCGAGGAGAGAGGAGGAGGAGAAGGAGTGGGAGAGGAGGAGGAAGGAGAAGGTGGAGAGGGGAGGAGCAGGAGGAGGAGAGGAGGATGATGGAGGAAGGAGGTGGAGGAGGAGCGGAGGGGGAGGGAAAGAGGGGAGGAGGAGGGGAGGAGGAGGAGGCGTAGGAGATGTGGAGGAGGATGGAGGAGGGACGAGGGGGGAGAGCAGAAAAGGCAGGAGGAGGAGGAGGAGGAGGAGGAGGAGGGAGGAGGAGGAGGAGGGGGGGTGGAGGAGGAGAAGGAGAATGCAGGCAACCGGCACCCCGGGCCTCCCCCCTACGGGAGGAAGCGGGCCCGACGAACAGGGGATACGCAGCTTCCTCGTCACCCAACGACGAACCTCCAGCCGAGAGGGCGTGGTGAGTAGGGGGACGGTCGGTTCACCTCGTCACTGCGAGGTAATTCCCGATAATCAACCCCTTCCCAGTCAGCTAGCATGCGCAACTGGTTTGTTTCCCAGGGTGAGCGGGCACACGGCCACCATGGGACTTACGTGCCACATGGCCTCGCCATTCAACCAAATGCGCAATTCCCCGGACCTGGTACCCATCTCCAGGTCACGGAGCGTGACTAACGCCGCTGCCACGGACAAATGCCACGCGGCTGGTTCCAAAAGGAGCGAGCCGGTTTAGCTGCCCCCAGTCGCCGCATGCAGTCGACTCTGACGGCGTGCCCGAGGAGTGTATGGTGCTGACACCAGATTTGAACTGATGCCGGCCCCCACCCTCGGAGGAGGAGAAGGAGGAGGGGGAGGAGGGGGAGGAGGAGGAGGGAGAGTCCGCAAGGAAGGGGAGGAGGGGGCGCCCGCCCCTCTTCAAAATCACGCACGCCTCCGGGAGGAGGCCAGCAAAGCCCGCGAGGTCGCTGAAGAGCCAGTCCTCGTAGTACTCCCAGCACTCTGCGCAGTGCGGGCTGCGAGCGAAGCTGGGCAGGTCGCGCACCTGCCAGCACTCTCTTACCTGAAGGGTGGCAGGATCAGCAGCGATGGCGAGCGCAGGCATCCTGACTCGAGCGGCGGAGGCCGGACGCGCGAGACAATGACAATGACAAGGAAGCACTGTCGCGAGCAGCCGCTCACGAGTGCTCGCTTTTCGTTCCACTGTTTCCCCGGCTTTCGATGCGCGCCTTCCTCAGAGAAGGTAGATATCCTTCGAAGGTCCGCTCCCTGGCACGCAGGGGCCGCGCAGAAGGCGCCGCTAGGGGGGCCCGGCGCCGATCGAAGACATCCGAGCGGGCCTTCGAACGCTTCAATCTTGCACACTTGTTTCTCGTCTTCGATCTGTCCCCCCTTCCCCTGCTGGGGGTCTCCGCCCCCTTCCTGCCGCCAGGCGCTGCGGTGGGTGGGGGCTCACGGGCGGGCGGACGGGCACTGGTGCGGGCGGGGAGGCTGCGCAGCTGGGGGGCAGGCAACCTCACACCGACCAAAAGCTTCGTGGCGCACAAACGACACGGGTGCACAGTCAGAAGGAGACGGAGCTGCGTAAACATAAACTGTCGGAGGTCTGCGCTGATTTCCTGGATCAGCGCTGGGCCCCCGTGCCGCGCTGGCGCCCTCCGCGCGATAGGGAAGGGGGGGGGTTCTGGAGCCGACCAAAGAGATTCTCGCAGAGCTTTCAAAGGTTGCGTCTATGTACAGCGCCAACGATGGTAACAACGGCAGCGGCGATGGCAAACCGTACTCGACGTGCCCATCCAGGTTGAAATCACTAGCAAGTCTGATCGGGCCGCATCGTTTCCCCACTGGCACGTCCAAAAAGGGTACGGAGAAACGGGTACGATGCCCTACGGCAAATGTTGTCCGACACCGGCAGCGGCCGCTGTTGGGCAGGTGAAATTCTGCCTCAAGTGGACAACGTCCGCGGCGGCAACTACAGTGAGAGTCCTGTTCAAAATGGGCGGGAACTGGTATCAATATTCGTCCCAATCCTTTCCGCACCTTTCCCCAGCGAAGCCAAACAATATCAGACCAGAATTGCGAGGCGAATCGAGGGCCTCCCGGGAGGCCCCAAGAGGCGAAAACGAAGCAAGCGTCGCGGTATGGACACAGTGTCTCTTTACGGGCGTCAATCTTCGCCTCCGTTCTCTCAGTACCCGCCTCGATCGTTCCGATCCCAGTGCCTGCTTGCAGTATGAGCACCTGCTCCGGGAGACGGAGTCCGCCTCGACGGGCCTCCTGAAGACGTCACCGCGCCTGGCGGGGCACGACCGCGCGCCGCTCGCTGCAAGCCTGCTGCCGGCCCTCGAACGCGCACAGTCGTGGAGAACTCCCCGGGGTTCCGAGGCCCGAGGCTCGAGGTCTTCGAGTGCCTGCGTCAGCCCTCGGCGGTGTGCCAGCCTCGGGGTGCCTTCCAGCGGCCGCGCCTCGCCGAGGGCGTGCGGGCTCGGACGCCCGAAACGGGTACGGGAAAAGTGGGCACAAGGCCCAACAACAAGTGTTGTCCCAAACCGACCACGGCCGCTGTTGGGCAGGCGGCCTCCTGTCTCAAATGGACACGGGCCGCGGCGGCGCGGACAGCGAGTCCTGTTCGAAATGAGCAGGAACTGCTGTTGGGCGTCGTACCCATTCTTCCCGTACCCATTTCGCTCGTGCCGATCCGAGGGTGCCCGGATCGTCCCGACAGGCCGCCAGAGGGCCGAGGTCTGACCCGAAACCTACTTTTTGTTCCTCAGGATGGAGATGCGAGCAAGAGAGAGCGCAACCATCCGACGGCCGACCCAGATTGGGATATGTGTCGCCATGTCACGTGCATCGACCCCGATGTGCAGAGCCGCCGTGTAAAGCAGCATGCCCTCTGTTCGGGGGGGATGCAGCCAGAGCTCATTGAAAACGTCCTGTGGCATCGTTGCCGGGAATGCTGCGGGTCGACAAAGCCATAGTTCAAAACAACCTCCACGTGCGTTGCCTCCGCCGCTGCTTCATTCTCCTCCTCCGCTTCTTCCAAACTACCCCTCCTACTCCTCCTCCTCCTCGTCCTCTTCCTCTTCCCCCTCCCCCTCCCCCTCCCCATCCTCCTCCTCCTCCTCCTCCTCCTCTCCTCCTCTCCTCCTCCTCCTCCTCCTCCCCTTCCCTGCCCGACATGTTCATACATCACATATTATCCTTCTTCCTCTTCACCGCCTCTCCTCCCTGCCTGCTCCGTCTCCTCCTCCTCCTCCTCCTCCTCCTCCCTCCCCTCCTGCTGCTCCTCCCTCCCCTCCTTCCTCCTCCTCCTCCTATTCCTCCTCCTCCTCCTCCTCCTCCTCCTCCTCCTATTCCTCATCTCTCTGCAGAACGGCTCCACCTGCTGGGGTCCCGGAATCTACGCAGTGGCTAGTGTTCCGCCCCGAAGTTGGGAATATGCTTGAGGGTCCTTCTCACGCTCGCACCGTCGGTGCTCTGGCCACCCTGCCACAAGGAACCTGCACTTTAATCAGCATCTATATGGCTGGGCCTGCGGGTCTCGACTGAAAGGACCTCGAAACTCGAAATGTGACAGCAGGGCTGGCAACGGTGGACTATTACTCGCCAAGGCCAGGGAAAAGTGGAGACGCACGCCCGTGCCACAGCCGCGTCGACTCGAGGCTGCTTTGTAGTGATATGTCGAGCGAGCGTCGAAGAAGATGAATCCCCCAGTGGCAGCCCCAGGTGGTCACGACACTGCACTCGTCGTATGTACTCCGTCGCGGTACCAACCCCCTCACGCGCGTCGTGCGGGGACAGACAGGCGGCTCCAGCTGGGCCCACACATGGCAACGCTGAACGCATGAGCAAACGAACGGAACGAGGGACAACAGGATTGAGCAGGGGCCGACCGTCCCGGCATTCCTACAGGCTTACCACGACATGCTCCTACAACCTAAACATGTTTCAATCACAGAAACAATGTTCTTAGAACATAAACGCGATGCGTTCAAACAACACAGTCCCAGCCAAACATGTTCTAAAAACAGTTCGTTGACACCACAACAGATTATCAAAACATTGTTTGGCAGGCCTATAAGCACGCCAGGACGCTTCGCCACTGCTTGACTGGAGGGCATCGACCTTCTAGAACAGCGAACTGATGCCGCCGTCAATGGCTTCGCAGACACAGACACACTCAGGCGAGCCACCCAGACATCCGGCTGCTCAAACTTTTTTCGGTGCGTGGGGGCCCCGGAGGTCTGGACCACTTCCCTATAGGGCCGGCTCTGCGTCCTGAGTCGTTCGTTGACGTTCCCGACGCCCGGCGAGGGCCCCCGGAAGCTGAGAACCGCCCAAACCTCTATACCGGCCCCCTTGCTTCTCTTGGAGCGCCGGATCGAGGGGCAGACGTCCTGCCTGCTCCCCCCCCTTCGAAGTCTTTTAGCGCCGCTGCAGTCCGGCACGGTCTTGGAGGCCCGCAGGCTCTGCAGGCGGGGCTCCCGCGCGCCATCACTGCTCCGGCGACGCCGGCGACGGCGGGCCCATCATCGGTGGAGGCGGCGGCGGCGCCCCCATCCACGCGGGCCACGGCGCCAGCTCCTCGGGGAGGCGGGAGGGCGCTCCACCGCCCTCGTGCTCCCACAGCGAAGGGGAAGAGGAGGGGGAGGAGGAGGAGGATGAGAAGGACAAGGAGGAGGAGGATGAGAAGGAGGAGGAGGAGGAGGAGGAGGAGGAGGACAAGGACAAAGGAGGAGGAGGAGGAGGAGGGACAAGGAGGAGGAGGAGGAGGACGAGGGGGAGGAGGAGGAAGAGGAGGACGAGGAGGACGAGGAGGCGTAGGAGGAGGGGGAGGAGGAAGGGCAGGAGGAAGGGGGGGAGGAGGATGAGAAGGAGGAGGAGGAGGCGGAGGAGGAGGAGGAAGACGACGACGACGACGAAAGGATGGCGAATGATGCCGACGAAGGGCCAGGCAAGGCGCAGGGGGCTCCTCCAGGCCACAACGGGCCTCGGCCACGAGGCGCTTCCCCGACCTGCCGTCGGGAGCTCTCGCTCCGCGTGTCGCGGCCGCGGCCCCGGCGACACGCTGCGCCCTGCGGGGGGTGGCAGCGCGCCGCTCCGTTTTGCGGGGCCTGGAGGCCGGGAGGAGCCCGGGGCATTGACGTCAGGGCGCTGGGACACACAGTGTGTCGTGCCGCCGCGCGGTGGGCCCAAACGGGTGGCGCGGCACGCTGAGGATCAATATATGTGTATATACATATATACACATACACGTGTATTTTGTCTGCTATACAAACCTAGTTATATACAGATAAAAAAACCACCCAGAGGCTGGGCCCAAGCGAGGCCTGATCTGAGGATCGGGCGCTGCTAGAGGCGCTCCAGGTCGAAGGCGCCCCCGAGGATTTCCAAGGAGGCCCCCGCGGCATCCAAAGCACCCGTCACGAGGTCCGGAAGGCCCCCATGGGCTCCAAAACGGAGCGAAAAGCTGGGGGCACCTTGGGTCAGGGGCCCCTCTAGCAACCCACGAGAAAAGCTGCCAGAAGAGCGGAGCCCCTCCCGGGCCCATAGCGGCCTTCACATCAGCGTCTTGGCCGGCGGGGCGGGGGCGGAGCGGGGCGCGCGGCGCGCCAGGCGGGGCCTTCTGGCGTGGGGGGCGGGGAGGCCGAGTCCGAGGCAGGGATATAACCGCGCCCGCCGCCTGGGACTCCGCAGTCCATTATGGATGTGTGGTGGCCCGAAGCGGCCCGAACACGCATGCATACATACATACATACATATATATATGTGTATATATAATACATACATAAATACACATACATGTGTATAAATATACATGCGTATGCATATGCAATTGCACATGCATATGTGTATGTATATGTGTCCAATGTGTGTAAATGGATATGAAAGTGTATATCGGTTCGGGGGCGAAAAGGGGGGCTCATGCAAAATGACAAACGATGAAGCATGAAGCTTGTGGCTGGCTTTTTCCAGGCGACCTCGCACCTCGCGGGCGTCCTACCACGCGTTATATCATTTGCGCGACAACGTCTGAACAATACCCCTGGCAAGGTCACTGCGGCTCTGGCACGCGCGCGCGGGCGAAGGAGCGGAATGGGACGAACAAGACGCGGCCTTAGTCGAGCGTCTGGGTGGCCGCCAGCGCTCGCCACTGCAACTCTGCGATCAGGTCGCGCCACTGCTGCCGATCACAGTGGCTCGGCATCCGCCCGCCGCACTTGCGGCGGACCCAGCGGTACGCCGCAGACCACGCCGTCTTCCTGGCAGCACCCCTGCCGGCTTTGGGGGCCACGGTGTGGTAGCGCAGCTGGTAGACCCCCCCCCGGCTTCTCCAGCACGCCAGCACGCGCTGCGCGGTCAAGCGGCCAACCCTAAACAGGTTGCCATAGCGCCATCCCAGACCAGTCCCGCAACACATCTGAAGGCACGAGTCTGTGCTGGTCAGCACCCCCAGGAGGTTCGAGTCCTTCAAGATGTCGTGCTTGCCGTCGGGTTTCCTGACAGTGACCACCTGCATGGAACACTGGCCAGGCGGCTCCATCTTCAAGGAGAAAGGCTCGGGCACGCCCTCGAAGTCGCGCGCCTTCGCGCGCTCGCGCAGAGTGTCCCGAGGAACCTCGCCCTCGTAGTCGCCAAGGTAATCTTCGAAATGCTGGATCATTTTGCCGCATTCCGTCCCGAACTGCGCGGGTAGATCGGCGATTGTGCACGGCCCCGCCGTCTCCAACCTGCTGGCGTTGATGCGCGGGTGATCGTTCGCCTTCAGGTTTTCGACGTGCTGCAGGGCTTCGCCGAACGCGAAGCCTGGCGCGTAGTGGGCATGCCCGAAGGAGGTCCCCAAGTTCTCTGGCAGCACCACCGCACGGCTAATGGCGGGCATGTTGTGGCAGTGAGAAGCAAACGGGGACGAGTCTCTTGGAGCAAAAAGCTTGAGATAGATATTGCTGCGGCCGTGTCAATCCCTCCTCCTCCACCACCAGGGGGCATCCTGATGTGTGGATGCCCTCCAGAGTGGCAGCGCCTTCGCCGTGACGCTGCTCTGCGGTACGTTATACTGCGGCTCGCCATGCTGTGGATGCACACGTGCATACGTAGACGCATACATGCATCAATGAACTCATGCATGCGTACGCGCATGAATGAATCCTCACCGAATCGCAGTCGCAAGCTGCGCGCTGCCAACCCCATAAACAGCAGTATATTGCAAATCGCGTGCAAGAGAATGGCGGTGTTGTCTGGCGCGGGGGTAGGAACCCATTATTGGGTTCCCCAGTTTTCGTATATTCGGAACCTGTCCTCGGTACCACTCCACGCGCGCCGGCGTGCAAGACTGCTGGGCTGGGCTGGGCTCAGCTGTTCCACATATGGCCGAAGGGGCATCGCACTGGTGGATGCCCCCAATTCAAAGCATGAAGGAATCAAGGAGCAGGAACCACACATAACGCACATGCACATATTCCTGCTTATTAGCACCACAGTTGTCGGAATTCTTCCGTGCGCAAAAAAGGAGGAAGTGAGGGAAGGAAGGATGGGCTTCATGACCGAGGGGGCATCCATTTGTGGATGCCCCCTTCTGCCGCAACAAGGCACGGGGGGAAGAATACACGAGCAAACGCCAAAACAACAGAACTTCCTGCTTACAACCTCAACACATGTTGGAAGTCTTCCGTGCGGAAGAAAAAAGAAAAAGGGGGGAACGGAGGGTGTAGTCTGCAAAAGCAAGCCAGAAGCACGGTCGAAGTACAGCGTGCCTGCTCGAGCGTGTTGTGACGTCGTCGTCGTCGTCCTCCTCCTCCTATTCCTCCTTTTCCTTTTCCTCCTCCTCCTTCTCCTCCTCTTCTTCCTCCTCCTCTTCCACCCCCCTCCTCCTCCTCCTCCTCCTCCTCCTCCTCCTCCTCTTCCTCCTCCTGCTCCTCTCAATCAGATTCCCCTATCGGGGGCGGAATCAAGCAAAACGCAAGGAAGAAAAACCATATAAGCAATCCTGGGGGACTCCTACCCCGCTCCCCCTCCTCCTCCTCCCCCCCCCAGCAAGTTCCTCAGGATCGCTGTTGTTGTTGTTTGATTTGTTTGCTCTTTCCTATGGTTTTGGTTGGTTCTGCTCCGTAAAAGGATTCTTATTGGGATGAAAGGAGGAGGAGGCCACCTCCTTCTCCTCCTCCTCCTCCTCCTCCTCCTCCTCCTCCTCCTCCTCCTCCTCTCAATCAGATTCCCCTATCGGGGGCGGAATCAAGCAAAACCCTAGGAAAAAGCAAACAACAAAAAAGAAGCAATAAAAGCAATACTGGGGGACTCCTCCTCCACCCGCCCCTCCTCCTCCTCCTCCCCCCCCCCCAGCAAGTTCCTCATGTTAGCTGTTATTGTTTGTTGTTGCTTGTTTAGTTGTTTTGACCCTACGGTCTTGCTTGATTCTGCTCCGTAAGAGGATTCTGATTGGGATGAAAGGAGGAGGAATGCGAAGAGGAGGAGGAAGAGGGAGGAGGAGGACGAGGAGGAGAAGGATGGAAGAGGTTTTAGTGGTTTACGCGCGCTGTCATTTTCCAGAGGGGGGCCCTTTCACCTCGCAGCAGTATACGTATATGTATTCGTATATGTCTATGTATATGTATACGTACATGTATGTGTATTTGTATATGTGTACGTATACGCATATGTAAATATATGTCTGTATAATATGTAGGCATGTACACATCTTTACACATATGCAGATGTATGCATATATCCCTATCCACCGCCCGCCTGCCGAGGTCCCCGAAGACCGATCCACCTAGCGAGGGCTCCCGAATACCGATCCCCCGCTTCGGCACCCAATGCCCCCGAACGCGGAGTGAAAGACAGCGACGGGGGGGGGGGGGGGGGCGGCCGTTCGATCTGTGCCTGCGGGCGGGACACCGAGCTCCGAGCCGTCCTGAGGAGCCCGAAGAAACCCCCTCCCCCCGGGCATCGTTTGACCGATCCCTGCCCCCACGGGCGTCACTGGCCGATGCGCACTCCTAGATGTGGGGAGATCGGCTGTCCCCTTCGGGGTTCGAGGAGCCTACTACCCGGGGTGGTGGGATGGCGGAGATGAGATACCGTGGCTGGTAGGGACGGGCATGTGACACGATCCCCTGCCGCGCGAGGCCGGACACCCCGAGCGGACGCCCGCCACGCTCGTCCACAAAGCGTCAAAACCAGGTAGGCTCGCGTCAAGGAAAAAAACACAGCGCGAGGGGTTTGACAGTTTTCGGCACCTCAGAACCCTCGCGGGGCCCCTGGACCGTCAAAAACGACTCGCGGGATGAGACACCAGCCCTAGGGCAAGGGGTCGGGACTTCCGGTGAACAGGCATTGAAACGATCAAGACGTCGCATGTGTGGGCACCGGTCACAATCATCGATGCGCCTAGACAGACCCCGAGGGCGACGCCTGCACCACAACGTACAATCCGATGGCAACGACTGACTCAAACTCCCTCCGGCCTGCGAGCCGCAGCCCCTGACCCAGACCGCGGGGAAAACAGACCTGCGATGGCCGTTCCCGACCGCCTGCGCGCTGCCGGGGCGGCGGGCGCGCGCCGGGCCACGGCGCATGTCTGGGCATCGGTGGCCCGGGAGAGCTCTCAGGGCCGAGGGCCTGCCAAGGCGGGGCGCTGGTGCAGGGGCCGGGCGGGAAGGAGGGCAGGAGCTGAGCGCGGAGACCAGCGGAACTCATCGGCACAGTGGACCCTCGGGGGGGGGGGCATCCCAGAGCCTTCGACTGGGAGATCGACTGCAGGACTGATATACCCCGAAATAAACCGTCTCTCCGGATATACGAGACATGCGCTGGATGCTTTTCGTACCTTCGACGAGAGCATCGATCCTGGTGCAAATCAATTCTGTAGTCGATCCGCGACTCGAAGCCTTGCAAAGCACATGAGCTCTCAGGACTTCCAGAGGCCTCCTAGAAACCTCGCAAGGCTCTCTGGAACCCCCCTCAGTGAGCCTCCACGGGTCTCGCAGAGTTGCCCAAATGTCTCGCCATATTGCTCGGACGTCCATTCCCCGTGCACGTTTCGGTTTCGCGCGTGCACCTTTCCCACGACGATCCAAGATACTCCTCCTGAGAATTTTCTCAGGGTGGAGGGCTCAAGGTGAAATCCGTATTGGCTCTTGTACCTCGGAAGTCAGTCCGTCGTGTGATTCACCTCTTGCAGATTCGAGCCTCGAGAATCCATCGGAACACCATTCCAGATCTCACCCTTTGCCCTCCACCTAAAGGAAGTGCTCGCTCCTCCCTGGTCCTCGCTGGCAGAAAACGCACACGCCCGATCGAGGCCAAGAGCTGCGGAGGCCCCCCCGGAGGTCGGCACGTGCAGCCAAGGGGCACCACCCGGCGGAAACGGGGGGCCGCACGCCCGCCTCCCGTCGGAAATTGGGCGCGGGCTGGCAAAAAAATCCGTGGCTGCTAAAAAGGTCTCCCCGGAAGACACGAACACAATCCCGGGACGAAAACGCGGCGTGCTGAACAGTAAACGGGCTGCTTCCCGGAAGGAAGCGACAAATGCTAGATGCTTCACGTAACCCCACCAGCCCATCCAGAAACGATGCCCAGAGGAATTGCCTCGATCAGGGAAGTGGGCAGCACACAGAGGAAGGGTCCCCCATTGGAGGCCTCTTGGAGCGGCATGGGGGCCTCTTGGCGGTCCTGGGCGCCTCTTAGAGCTCCTTGGGTGCCTCGGAGAGTTTCTTGGGGCCTCTTGGGGGTCTCTGGGGAGCCTCTTGGAGGCCTCTTGGGCGCATGTTGGGGCGCCTTGGGGCCGTCTGGGCGCCTCTTGGGGCCCTCTCGGGGCAATCCTGGGAGCCTTGGGAGCGCTCTTGGAGCCCTTTTGGGCCAGATTGGAGCCATCTTGAGGCGATGGGCCATCGGAAACGAAAAGGCGAGAACGCCAAAAACATCGTTTTTTCTCAAGCTTTTGGAAAGACTTTGGCCTCTTCGGGGCCTCCTGGGGGAGCTCTCTGGCAATTTGGAGCAGTCTTGGAACGGTCTTGGGGCCTCTTGGAGCATCGTGGGAGCCATCTTGAGGCATCTTAGATGTCATCTTGGGCTCTCCCTGGCGCTCCGGGGGTCATCTTAAGCAGTGCCCCCCCCAGGAGGCCAAAATGTAGTCAAAACCTCAATAACATCAATGATGTTGGCATTGTCGCCGAGGCCTCGTGGAGCGTCTTGGGTGCCTCTTGGGTGCCTCTGGGGGACCTCTTGGGGGCCTCTTGGGGGCATTATGGGGGCCTCTTGGGGCCTCCTGGCCACCTCTTGGGGCACCCTTGGGAGCGCTCGTGGAGCCATCTCGGGGGAGATCGATCAAAGAAGGGGGGGGTCTGAATTAGCGCCCCCCCCAAAAGACTCAAATGTGGCCAAAACCCTTGTAAAAACCAATCGTTGTGGCTTCCTCGCCGAAGCCGTTTTGGACGCCCTGACCGTTCGCGGGGCGCCCCGTCCAGGTCCAGAGGTCCAGGGGAGGGGGTAGGGGGAGGGGTCAAGACTTCCCCCCCGCCCGCAAGCCGTCTCGCTCACTGCCACCCGCCCTCCCAACACAGACGTAGCACCCGAGCCTGGCCCGAGCCGCAGCATATTCAGCAGTCGTTTTTTGGATGGGCAGCTACTGGGGGCGAATCCGCCGCCGCCGCCGCCGCCGCCGCCGCACCGCCGCCGCCGCCGCCCGCCGCCGCCGCCGCCGCCGCCGCCGCCGCCGCCGCCGCCGCCGCCGCCGCCGCCGCCGCCACCGCGCCGCCCCCCGCCGCCGACGCCGCTGCCGAATCGCCGCCGCCGCAGCCGCTGCCGCCGCAGCCGCTGCCGCCACCGCTGCCGCCGCAGCCGCTGCCCCCGCCGCAGCCGCCGCCGCTGCCAAGTGTACGCAGTATTGCTTTTTGAAAGAGATGCTGGGGGGAGGCCGCATCGGGTTCGCTACGCATGCTCCGAATTTGGAGGCAGAGTGTGTTTTGGATTGTTTTGTTACAAGGGATGGTGAGGGTGCCCGCGTGGTCTCGGGTTGGCTCCCAGTCGGCTGGGGGAGGGGGTGTATACTAATAGGGAACAATGATAAACCCCCTCCCCGAAGGGGGAGAAAGGGGGTTGGAAGAGGAGCCGCCTTGAGCCACCAACGCCCAAAGGGCTGGTGGGATTGGCTGGAGCTCCGTTTTAGCAGCCACGGATTTGCCAGCCTTCGCCTGGCTTCTGATCCTGGGTCCCTGGGCAGGGATGAGCCTTGATTCCCAGACCCCCTTGGGTCAATCAACTTGTAGAGTCTCAAACCCGGATAGCAGGGCGCCCAAAAGTCGTGGAAAGGCCTGGCGAAGAACTCTGGATGGACCTGGAGAATGCTCCCGAAGGTCCTTCTGGAGAGCTTCCAGGCATGCGTATTGGGAAACGCTTAGAAAAGGCCTCTCGGGACACGCTGCGAATTCAAGCAGCCTGCTCTGGGGCTGGAAAACGGAAGCCGGAACGACCTCCGGAGCTGCCCTGCGGCTCCGCCTCCTTAATCTGAATCCCTCTGAGCTCTCTGCGAGCTATCTGGGAAAAATCCGGACCTGAAGCTTTTCGCTACTTGCGGCCTCCAGGGGCCCTTACCGAGCCTCGGGGCCGCCAAAACACGATGCGGACCGAGAAACTGGTCCCCAGGAATGGGTCGAGACCTTCGGGGGTCGACGTGGTTAAAAAATCACGGCATCGGGGGTCTGGGACTCAGGGCTCCCCCGCAGAAGGTCACCTGGACAACCCATAGGAAGGCACCAACTATACACCAACACCGATCCTGGCCAGGATCACCCTGGGCCCAGGATCGGTGTATACGCCCTCCTGCCTTGCGCAAGAAGGCATATACACCGATCCTGGGCCCAGGGTGATCCTGGGCCAAGATCGGTGTTGGTGTATAGTTGGTGCCCTCTGAACCCAGGACATGGGCGCGCCCGATCAAACTGCAGTTCCAGGGGCCCTGGCCGATCACGGCGGCGCTCCAGCCTGGATGAGCCCGCGCAGTTCCGGCGGCCCTCAGATCCGACGCTACCGGACAGAGTGCGACGTCGCAAACATTCACCGCCGGAGCCCGGGGCCCTCTCTCTTCCCGCGTCGCTCCTCGAGCCGAGCCGCTCCGTGAGGGCCCCGAGGGCGCGGAGAGCCGGGCGCGAGGGCGCCCGTGTTGTGCGGCAGCTGCAGCGCCAAGAGGTTTCATAGGGGGGAGGCTCGGCAAAGGGCCCCCCCCCCGCGGAGCGGAGCCGCGCCGTGGGCGTCGGGCACCTCGGAAGGAGAAGCTCTCTGCGCTGCGGGAGCCGCGCGCCCGGCGAAAGGGGTCCCCCGAGGCGCGGCGGGGGGCCCGGCGACGGGGTTCCCGTCTGGCACGTGCCCCTGCGAGGGGACCCTGGACGGAAAAGTAAGAGAGGGCCAAGCAAAAATACCCCCAGAGAGTCAAAAGCATAGGAGAAAACGAAGCGTCCCCAGACTATCTTTTTGGCCTACTCTGGAAGACCCCTCCTGTGGAGGGACAGGCCCGACCTGCCAGAGTCGCGGCGGGGGGCCCCGCGACGCGGCCCCCAGAAGCGCGGCGGGGGGGGGGGGCTCCAGGCCCTGGGCGACGGGGGCGGACGCGAACTCCTCGCTGAAGCGGACGTAGTCGATCTCCCCCGCCTGCCCGAGGCGCGGGCCGGGATGGGGGGCGCAGGCCGCGCGAAGGGCCCTGAGCTCCGACGCGCTCCCAAAACAGCTGGGGAGCGGCGGGGTTTTGACAGTGTTCGGCCTTCGGGGGCCCTCGCTGGGTCTCGGGTGCGTCCGAAAACGAGCCAGGACTGGGGAAGTGGTCCAGCTCCGACGCGCTCCCAAAACAGTTGGGGAGCGGCGGGGTTTTGACAGTGTTCGGCCTTCGGGGGCCCTCGCTGGGTCTCGGGTGCGTCCGAAAACGAGCCAGGACTGGGGAAGTGGTCCGGCCCTCTGGGGCCCAGGCGTGGAAAAAAATGGGAGCAGCCGGATGTCTGGGGGCGGGTTCCGAGGGCACGCTCTGCAGCAAGGCGAGGCCAGGGCGGGGACAGGACCGGACCAGGAGGCAAGTCGGAGATCTCGGAGATGCAGCGGTGCTGGAGGGTGCACACTGGCCCTGGCCTTGCCGGGTTCGGGCCGGGAGCCAAACACGAAAGGGCACGGGGGTCGGTCCTAAGCTCCCTTCGGGCCCAAAGAGAGCACCAACGCCCCTCACGCCAACAAGTCCCATTGGAATGAATAAAGCGTCGCCCTCGGGGGCTCTGTGAGCCCATGGGGGCTCCGTGCATGGGCCGTCCCCAGGCCGTCCCCACTCACGTCGACCTTCTCTGGGACTCCGCCCAGAGTGTGGCGGCACCCACACAGACGTGGCGCGAGGGGGGCTGGCCTTCTCAGGAGGCGGGGGGGAGCTTAATTCTGAGCAGGCAGTGGCCCTCTTCTGAAAGCCCTCCCAGCTTCTGAGTAAGTCTTCTCAGAAGCCCCCCGCGGAGGCCTTCTCAGAAGGCCCCTGCGCTCCAAGAGGCCCTTCCCCCACAGTCGGGGCGTTGACCAAAGGAACCCTGAGTGAGGAACGAGGCCCCTTTTTCCCAATCAGTGAAACTTCGATTTCCCATGGGGACCCCAGGCACACCCGAGGCAAAGTGCAAAACGATCAAGGAACACCGAGCCCTTCCCCAACGAGAAGGGCTCCCTCCTCAGCGCCCCGACTCTGCCCCCCTGCCTCCTCGGCAGGCCGCCCTCCTCGCGCCACCCGCTCGTGGGGCGCCGCCGACGAGCGTCGGCAACGACCAGAGATCCTGACGACGACGACGACGACGACGACGACGACGACGACGACGACGACGACGACGACGACGACGACGACGACGTCGACGCGCGCTGCTGCCAGGAAGCCTTCGGCACCGGAGGCGCTCCCTGTGGCCTTCGCTGGCGGCTGGCGAGCCCGCTTGGGAAAACCCTGGCAGGGCGCCCCCGCGGAAAGAGGGCCGCCGCGGCCGCCGAGGGGCGTCGAGCGGAGGGCCCTTGCTTCCAGGCCTTCCAGCGGGGGATTCCCACCTCCTCCTCCCTCTCCTCCTCCTCCTCCTCCTCCTCCTCCTCCTCCTCCTCCTCCCCTCCCTCCTCCTCCTCCTCCTCCCCTCCTCCTCCTCCTCCTCCTCCCCTCCTCCTCCTCCTCCTCCTCCCTCCTCCTCCTCCTCCTCCTCCTCCTCCTCCTCCTCCTCCCTCCTCCTCCTCCTCCTCCTCCTCCTCCTCCTCCTCCTCCTCCTCCTTCCCGACCTCGGGGGGAGGAGAGACAAGCGGGGGGGCAGTGGGGCCCTGGAGCCTGCTCCTCTGAGCGCGAGAGCGGCTCTGGGCAAGAGTGACCCCAGGCGCGCAGCTTGATGTGGCGGCGCGCACAAAGGGGGTATGGGTGAGGGGGAGGCTGCTTCTGAGAAGGCGATGGCCCAACATCTGTAGAGAAGGCCCGCGCCTTCTAAGAAGCAGGGGTGCTTCTTACAAGCCTTCCCCCCATACCCCCCTCTGCGCGTGGCCGAGGGGGGGGCGGTGGGGTGCCAGACCCAAGAGCGCGAGCCGCTGCCGATCGCATCGAGGTCAGCGATCGGGGGACTCCAGTCGGCCCGCACCAGAAGTCACTCCGGCGGAGGGCCGCTTTTACGTCTATTCGCCCCCGTGAAGAGACCGCGAGGAATCCACAATGGGGCAAAGGGGCGCCGAAGGCGGGAATGCGGCGAAATGTGTTGAGGCACATGCCAGGCGGTGCGGAGCAGGGGGGGTGTCTTTTCCGTCCGAGGAGGTCTGGTGAGGGCTCCCCGTGCGCCTTGAAGACCCACTATGTACACAGAGGCGGCCCCCCACGGTGCACACATCATTCATGTTCCTGATATCTGCCCTCCCCGTTCCCTCCACCATCGGCCCCGAGAGAGTGCTTCTCGAGTGCTCGAAGGAGGGCGGGGGGGGGGGGGGGGGGGCGAGCCCGAGCCCGAGCCCCCGCCTGGGTGCGATCCCACGCCCGCGCCCGAGCCCGCGCCCGCGCCAGCGCCCGAGACCGAGCCCGCGCCCGAGCTCAAGCCCGCGCCCGAGCCCGAGCCCGAGCTCAAGCCCGCGCCCGAGCCCGAGCCCGAGCCCGAGCCCGAGCCCGCGCCCGCGCCCGCGCCCGAGGAGGAGGTCGAGCGTCGCAGGCGGAACGCCTGGCGCACCAGACGGCCTGCCGCACAGGGCCACGGGGCAGGGAGGCGCAGAAAAGGCGGGCCGCGGCTGCGCGAGCCCTGTGGGATGCACAGAGACATACCAATACTATGTGTCCGCCTTGGAGGCGCGCGTCCGACCCGAGCATATAGTATACCCATCTTGTAGTATATCGTTTCCCGAGCGGTGTGGCCAGGAAGCGCCCGCCACGACGCATATACTATAAGATTTCTCGGTGCGCGCGTCGCCCCTGGGGGGGCGACGCACATGTAGTATAAGTATGTTTGGGTGTTGCCGACCCTGGGCCACGAAACCCGCGGAATCGGTGACCCGTCGCTGTTCCTCGGCGGCGAGCCCGGGGGGGCAGTCAGATGGGGCGGGTCTCCTCACAGGGCTCGGCAGGCCTCGGGCCTCCAACGTTTTTGCTGAGCTGTCTCCGCACAAACGGGAGGCTTCTGAGAAGACCGGAGAGCCTCTGCGAAGCCCGGCCGCCTTCTCACACGGCCTGCTCCTTCTCACTCCCCACCCCCCCCCCGGGGCGTGCCGCCGATCTCTGGCACGCGCCCAAAATCTTGGCACGGCGCCCGCTGTCCAAGTCAGTCCCAGGACGCTGAAGCCCTTGGCCTTCTGGGGCCGGCTCAGACCCTGTGAGCACGCCGGCCCCTTGCACTCGCTGCCACCGCGGCAGTCTGTGGGGGGGAAGCCGACCATGACGACGGCGAGGCGGGGAATGCAGGAGAGCAGCAAGCGACTGCTCGGCAGAAGTCCGGCAGTCCGAGGGGGGGTTCGGTTCCTGCTCGGAGGTCTGTTCTGGAGTCCGTGGGTGTGCTGTACCTTGGGAGAGGTCCCCTGCCTGCTAGATCTACTCAGAGGCTTCATGTGCCGATGGCGGCTACAATTCGGTCGGGCCTGTCCCCCTACACGGGGATTTTGGACGAAAAAACAAAAAGAGTCAAAACAGATTCCCAAATAGCCAAACATAGACCAAAAAACATCCCCATCATATGTTTGGCAATTTTGAACATTCCTCCTGCAGGGGGACAGGCCCGACTTAACCTCAGGTGCCGATGGCGACCACCGAGGAGCACGCAGACCACGCCAGAGAGAGAGACCAATTGGCCCGCCCACGAAGGCCTCTGCTGAGGCCCTCGTTGACTCGGCGGCAGGGCCAACTTGGATGTTCACACTGTTGTTAGGTCGGGCGTGTCCCCCATACAGGCGGATTCTGGAGGACAGAAAAAGAATACCCCCCCTCACAAAAAAAACATCCAACATATGCACAAATAGTCCAAACATCGTCCCCATGCTATTTGTTGACTACTTTCAAATCTTCTTCCTGTGGAGGGACACGCCCGACTTAACACTATTGGGGCGTTTCTGACCGTCCAGCCGAGGCGAAGGGGACAGGTCGAAACGAGCAAGGGACGACGCTCGGCGGACGGCAGAAGAGCAGCAACAGCAGGAGGAGCCAGGACGGGGTCGGACCGGCGGAGCTCGGGGTGTCGAGCCCGTGCCGACCACGCCGCATCTGCCGAGCGGTGCTGCGGGGAACTCCGCAGGGCCATGCTAAAACAGGGCTAGGATCGGGATAAACCGCTCCGGAGCGTTCCGGAGCGCTCTCAGAGCATTCCGGAACGCTCTGGAGCGGCCGCGGCGCCCAACACATCCTCCAAACCCGCCGATTCTCAGAGATTTCGAGTTATCCCGATCCGATTTTGTCCCGATCTTCGCGTCGTTTTACATGCGCAGGTGGCCGCCCACCACGCCGTGACGCGCTCTGCCCTCGCAGGGGGCCGCGCTGCTCCCGGCCCCCCCCCCCCCGCTGCCGGCACGGAGCCCGAGGGGCGCCTCCCAGCTGAGACCGACTCGACGCGCGGCGCTGCGCAGCCGGCGCGGGGATGGGGGCGGCGGGGAGGAGGACGAGCGCGGGAGCGCGCGGGAGGCGAGGCGGAAGACCCGCAGGGGCGCTGGGGGGAAGGCCCCTCGGCGAGAGGCCCAAGAGGGCCCCCGCCTCCGCGTCCGCGGCAGGGGGCGCCGCGCGCCCCCCGGCGTCGGACGTCGCCCTGGCGGATCGCTTCACGCACGGCGGGGAGTGGCGTGCGGGGCGGCGGTTGGATGGGCCGAGCGCTGCTGGAGCAGTGGTGGCAGGGACGGGGCGCAGACGTTGCACATGCACTCTGCGCTGTGCTGTGCGTGCGTTCGCTTGTGCTGCCGGTGCGCTGCGAGAAACGCACCCATTCACTCATCACCTCGCCTCCTCCTTCACAGTTCCCTTCCCCCCTCCCCTCCCTCCCCTCCCCCCTTGCCTGGACGATCCCCGCCCTACCTAGACGGCGCCTTCCCACCTTGCCGAGCGTGGGGGGGAGTGGGGCAGGTGCCAAACCCAGACCCCCGACGTCTTAATTTTGTTCGCAACGTGGACCCCCAGGTCTGGACCTCTTCCCCGAAATCAATGTTTCATCCCGGGTTATTTTTTCAAAACCCCAGGGCCCCGCGAGGGCCCCCAGAGGCTGAAAATTAGCCCGTCGCGATGTGATCTGGGATTTGGGCTCGCTCACCCCTCCTCCCTCAATCCTCTCGCCAAGGGGGTGGTCGGCCTGGTTCTCGTCCGGTGCGCCACTCTTGCGCCGATGCTGCGTCGAATGTCCGTCGACCCTGAATCGAACTTGAGTCGAGCTTGCGTCTAGCAAGAGTCGCACTTGAGTCGAACAGATGCGCTAGGTGGACCCCAGGAAGGCTCCCAGAACGAGTATCTACGCCATGCGTCCCTCGCCAGAGGGGGTGGTCGGCCTGGGTCTTGTCGGCCAGAAGCAGGAGCGCCTCCACCTGCTCAGCCGAGATGTCGGGCAGCAGCTGCTGCAGACCCGCCACGAAGCTCGCGGTGTCGAGGGCTCTGCGGTGCTGCACGTCCCACTGGGCCAGCGTGGGGAGGACTCCCGCTGCGATGGGCTCCAGCAACTTCTTGGCGGACAGCCCGAGCTGGTACGCCTCGAGGGAGGTGGCCTCTACCTCGGGGTCCCCCCAAAGCAGAGAGTGCGCGTCAAGACATCCCGTCGCCGGGGTGGCCTCTGGGTGCGGGCACACTGGGGCCCGCCGATGGGCTGCATGCGGAGCGATGGGCACGGTGAGGGCATGTTACGTCTCTGCGTCCGAGGACTTGCGCACAGGCAGATTCAGGAACAACCTGCGCTCCAGCGCTCTCAGGGCCGTACCATGGACTTGGCGACATGGTGAGGGCATTAGATAAGGAGCCGTTGGAGAAGGAACGCGGGGTCTGGAAGCCCGTGAAACTCCGATCGTGGATTGGCCATGGATATCAATGCCGCGCTCATTAGAAAAAGGAAGCCTCCAGGGTCTGGAATCACCTGGGCGCATTCCTTAACGAACGCCCCCACCGTAGCGGCTTGCGCGCTCTGGTTGGGCACCCCACCGCCACCCCCTACGTAAGCCGAGCGCCAAAGGTCTCCTTTGTCTAGGGTCACTCTTCGAACATGCCAGCAGGTGAGCGTTTTTTGAATTCGGCGTTTCGACATTGGGTGGAAGGGGGGCGGGAGGGGGGGGGGGTCTGGCTCCGGACCTCTGCTGTTGGGACCGTGCTTCCTCTGGGGGAGGCTCCAACCGCTCGAAACAGGTGTCAAAAACCAGCCGAGAGCCACTCCACGGGGTGGGGAGGGGGGGGGCGAGGGCCCGCGCCGATCGGCAAGGCAGTGGGCACAAAAACGAATCACCAGGCCAGCATGCCTCAAGAGCGGACTGGCCGCCTCGCGGGGCAGCCCGCCCGGAAGCTCCCCCCGCCACGGGCGCGCCCAGGGGGGCCCGCGGGGTCGGCGAGGGCAGGGTCGGTGGTCCGTGGGGAGGGTTGGTCGTGTTTCCCGGGCGCGGAGAAAACAAGAGGTACCGATACCGCTACAGTTCGGTCGGGCACGTCCTCCTACAGGGGGATTGTGGACGAAAACTGGAAAAATTCAAAAAATGCCCCATAATGGTCCGGAAGCCATCAAAAAATCGTCCCCAGAACATGTTTTCATCATTTTTGGATTTTCCTCCTGTAGGTGGACAGGCCCGGCTTGACGCTACAGTCATCGGCCTGCCCCAAGGAACGATAAATAAGGAACGAGGCTCCTTTTTTTTCCAGGTGAGTCTACGAAGTCCGAAGGAACGGCCGACCCGCGCGTCCAGAATCTGCAGGAACATCAGGGGGGCCTCGCCGCCGACAAGGAGCGGAACGCATGCAAACCAAAGGAACGACCGAGCACCTGTTGAAAAGTAAGTGTTCCTCATTCATGCCGCTCACTGTACTCCCCGGCCTCGCCAGGGTGCGTTCTGACCAGGATTTCGAGGCGAATCCAGCGGTGGCGACGAGGGCCTCCCAGGAGGCCCCCAAAGGGGAAACCGAGAGAAGGGTAGCGGTTTGGGTACCTGTTCCTCCTCCGAGGGCCCCCGCTGCCAGCTTCGACTCGAAGCTCGACAGGTGGACCAGCGGCCCCTCGCAGAGCGAATCTACCAGGTCGCCGATCTCCGTCATGCTCAGCCCCAGGTCGAGCTGCGCCAGGGCGCCCCGCATCGTCTCCGGCGCCAGAGCGCCATCACCCCGGTCGTCGAAATCTGCAAAGGTGGCGATCCAGTTCATCCTCGAGATGGAGGGGGGGGGAGGAGGAGGAGGAGGAGGAGGAGGAGGAGGAGGAGGAGGAGGAGGAGGAGGAGGAGGAGGAGGAGGAGGAGTGGGAGAGGAGGAGGAGGAGGAGGAGGAGGAGGAGGAGGAGGAGGAGGAGGGGAGGAGGAGGAGGAGGAGAGGAGGAGGAGGAGGAGGAGGAGGAGGAGGAGGAGGAGGAGGAGGAGGAGGAGGAGGAGGAGGAGAGCAGGAGAAGGAGGAGGAGGAAGAAGAAGAGGAGAGGGGAGGGCAAGATGACGACGAACAAGAACCCAACGGGGCCCAAGGTAACGGCACGAGCAGGAAGCCGAGGCGGCAGCAGGAGAGCCAGCACGGCAGCGGCTCCCAGAGCACCCTTTGCTCTCTGACGTCGGTGATTGTGTGCCCGAGTTGTCTTGCCTTCCCTCCTCTGTTAAAGGTACATGTATGATCAGAGTGAGGGGGCGGAACGGTCATTCACTGTCCCTGGGTGCGTGGCTGAAGTGGGATCCTGCGATGCGGATTCGTGTTGTCGTTGTTACTGCTGTTGTCGTTTGTTTGTTTGTTTGGTTGGTTGGTTGGTTGGTTGTTTGGTTGGTTGATTGGTTAGCGTCATTGTTGTTGCTGTTGTTAATAATTGTGTTGTTGCTGCTGCTGCTGATGTTGGTCTGTTTGATTGTTTGCTTGTTAGCTTGCTTGTTTGTTAATGTGTTTGTTTGTTTGTGTGTTTGTTTGTTTGTTTGTTTGTTCCCTACCTAGGCTCTGCCTAGAAGGGTTCTTACTCTGAGGCTTAAAAGGCCGGGCAGTGGAATGCGCCCCGGGCGGTTCCCCCGGCATCCGCCCCGCGGTTCCCCCAGTGACGTTCCCTTAGCTTCGCGTTGCTTATCTCATCTGAGCTTAGCTTATTAAATATTACCTTAGCTTAGCTTCATCTTACCTCAGTTTTGTCTTAGCTTAGCTTACCTTCATCATAGCTTCGCTGAGCTTTAGCATAGCAGAGCACAGCATAGCATAGCGCAGCACAGCATATCATAGCATAGCCCAGCATAGCATAACATAGCGCAGCATAGCATAGCATAGCATAGCATAGCGCAGCACAGCACAGCACAGCATAGCACAGCGCAGCATAGCATAGTATAGCATAGCAGAGCATAGCAGCAAAGCAAAGGCAAAGCAACAGCAGCGACAGCAAAGCAAAGCACAAGCAACGCAAAGCAAAGCAAAAGCAAAAACAAAGCAAAGGAAAGGCAAAGCAAAAGCAATGTGCGACAGATGCCGAGCTAGCCTCGATGGCTGGACCGGAGCCCCCGCAAGCGACGCCGCCGCTGCCGCCACTGCCGCCGCTGCCACCTGCTCCTCCTCGTCATCCTCACCGTCATCCAGCTCCTGGTCCTCCTGCCCCGGATCTGTGGGTGTATTTTGTGGCGCTCGTGTGTGCCAACCGCGTTGCCAGCTTAGTTTTCTGTTCGGGTAATATGCATGGGTGTAATTCCCTACCTAGGCTCTGCCTAGAGGGTTAGCTTAGCTTAGCATAGCGCAGCGCTGCATTAGCATAGCATAGCATAGCATAGCATAGCATAGCATAGCATAGCATAGCATAGCATAGCATAGCATAACACAGCCAAGCACAGCATAGCATAGCATAGCATAGCGCAGCATAGCAGAGCAGAGCAGAGCAGAACAGAGCATAGCATAGCATAGCGCAGCTTAGCATAGCAAAGCATAGCATAGCACAGCGCCGCATGACATAGCATAGCTTTGCATAGCATTGCATAGCATAGCATAGCATAGCATAGCATAACATAGCATAGCATAGCATGGCATATGATAGCATAGCATAGCATAGCAACTAATGCTGGTTTCCTAGGGGGTCCAACTTCTAGGTAGGGTCGCACTGGGGTAATTTGTTTGTTGTTGTGTTGCGTCGTCCCCCCCGCGACCCACCCGCGACTCACCCCGCGACCCGCCCGCCACCCACCCGCGACCCACCCCGCGACCCGCCCGCGACCCACCCGCGACCTGGCCCGCGACCCACCCCGACCCAACCCGCGACCCACTTGCGACCCACCCGCGACCCACCCACATTGCTTCAAGGGAAAATCGACGCCTACGGCGGGCTCGTTGTATAAACTGGTAGAAATTAGGCACCTGCGGCGGGCTTCTTCTGAGCCTCGCAGACTGCAGATGCCCCCTCCGCCCCCGCACTCTTACCCGCGACTGCGGGGTGCTGCGTAGCCATCGTTTTCCTGGCGTGCTCGCAGTCTTGGAATCTTTCCAGCCGTCCAGTATTTGGTGGAACACGCTGTTTTCAGTCCTGCTGCCTTCGCCTTGCTTTGGGGAACCAGTGCTATCCTGGCCCTCCTGGTGGCTCCCTCCATCCATCCCGCCCCCTGTCGCTCACTCCTGCCTACTGCGCAAGTGTATTCCGTTTGACGGCCAACGTGTCAAGTCGCACTGGCCCATGTGGCTGGGCACCGCCAGTCAGGTAAATCACTTAAATTGGATTTCGTGCCGCTTGTCGCCGTCCTGTCTTCCACCTTGTACCGCCCCCCCCGACTCTGCTGCCTTCCCCTATCACGCGTTTCCCTGATTAGAGGAACGAAGAGATGCCCAAAGGTTCTCGGACCTGAGATGCTTATGCATTTGTTTGCGCTGGACCCCCCCCCCCCTGGCTTGCGAGCCGCAACCAATGACCGAGACCGTAGGGAAAACAAGCCTCTGATGGCCGCGCCCAGCCGCATTCGCAAGCGGGCGCGTGCAAGGCGACGACGCTGCAGCGCAGAGAAGAGGAGGAGGAGAAGGAGGAGGAGGAGGACCAGTGTAAACCCACGGCGCATCAACGATGTTGAAATACACGCTCCCTCCAAGTTCCCTCTTCATAGGTCCCTACAGAAATGTATTTCCACTGCTGAGAAGGCCCCATTCGAAGACAACTGTCTGATAATCCTCAGTCGTGTCAAAACACAACGCCTTCGATTTGAACGCCGCGAATCAACTTTACTGTTGCGTCCTGACCATCCTGCATCGCGCCAACACACCATTCCTGGGACCTGGACACAACGAATCGGCATGACTTTTGCGCTTGGACAATCCTTTTTCGCGCTTCGCGCTGGAACCGAATTCCTGGGGCGTCAACCATAAGAACTCGTTAAACGATTGAGAAGTTTAAGCCGGATGCACGCGGCGCCAAGGCGAGAGCCACACGTTGAACAAAAACCGCCCTTCATCCGGGAAGTCGTCGCGCACTTTGAAAGCCAATGTGCGCTGTGCCCAGCCGCGAACCACATTTCGAAGACCGCCCGCCCTCCAGCCGTGAAGCTGCTGCAAACATTAACATCGAATGTGCGCGGCTCTACAGCGAGAACCACATGTTGAAAACGACCCGCCCTCCATCCGCAAAATCCATGCACACGTTTAGCCCGAATGTGCGCGGCGCGGAGGCGAAAACCACATTTTGAAAACGAACCGCCCTCCATCCGCGAACCTGCTGCACGCTTTGAAGACGAAGGGGCGCGGCGCTGTGGCGGGGGCCCTAGTTTGAAACCCACCCGCTCTCCATTGATGAACGATGCGCTAAGGCGAAGACCACATTCTGAAAACCGCCCACCCTCCGTCCGTGAAGCTGTTGCAGAAATGAAGCTTCCAGATCATACATCGTGAGAAAGTCTTAGGCGAAACGCCCGGCCCGCCCTACCGACACGTCTCCGCGTGCGACTGGGAGGAGGTGTTCAGAAGGAAAAGGAATGGATGAGAAGGAGGAGAAGGAGCAGGAGGAGAAGGAATTGAGTTGTTTGTTCTTCGACTTCCCCCTCACGCGCTACCCTGATGTCAACCCCTCTGCCGGTTTGCTGGCAGCGAGGGCGGAGAGCTGGCCAGTGCCTGGAGCCGCTGCATCCGCCCGCGGGAACGGCACGAGCTGGGGAGCCCCTCCCATGTCAGACGAAGCCAGGACAGGGACAAAACCTGACTGGGGTAATTCGGGGACCTCTGAGATCCACCAGCGATCCTGGAGGATGTGCCAGGCGCCGCAGCCATCTGAGAGCGCTCTGGGACGCTCCAAGAGCGTTCCTGGCACGCTCTGGAGCAATACATCCTGGGCTCAGGTCGGGCATGTCCCCCTTCAGGCGGATTCTTGGGCGGAAAAATAAGAATACCCCCAACATGCCCAAAAACAATCCACAAAATACGAACAAAAAAAACACCAGACTACAGTTGGGGCGTTGACCCAAGGAACCCTAAATAAGGAACGGGGCCCCTTTTCCCCAGAAGTTAAACTCCGATGTTCCATGGGAAACCTCAGGAAAACACAAGGAACACTGTAAAACAACTAAGGAACACAGCGCCCCTCCCAAACGAAAAGGGTTCCTTCTTCAGCGCCCCGACGGTATTTGTGTTACCATGTTTGAGTTTCACCCCTGTGGAGGGACAAGCCCGACTTCGTCCTGGGCCTGCCTGGCCAAGACACGGGCCGGAGCGGGCGGAGCCGGAGGTGGAGGCGGACGGGGAGCAGCGGCAGCAGCAGCAGGAGGAGTGTGGGCTGCAAGGGACGGCAGCAGGAGCAGAGGATCTGTGGGAGCACTGGCCTTCCCATGTAGAAGCGCCGCTCGGTGAGTGATAAGAAGGGAGCATAAAAATAAGAGAACGAAGGGAGAATAAGACTACTACTAATAATAATGATAATAATATTAATGATGATAATCATAATAATAGAAGAACGAAGGGAGACTCATAAAATAACCAAGGGGGGACGAGGTGGAAGTATGGGAAGAGATCTGAAACATTAGAGGAATAGCACACTGCAGATCCAATGAACTATCGGAGGTCCGCGCGGATCACTGGTAGTGTCTGCTCATGTAGTGCCTCTTCTCCAGCTGATGCAACACTCTTACCTTGCAGAACGATCCATCGATCGAACAAGCCCTCGTGACCAAAGCTTGACTGACGGTCAACATCCACGAGTCATGTGGATGCTTCGCCTAGAGGGCCAGAAGATCAAGGCACAGCGTTGCGGACGTGGTCTTTCCACTCCCCGAATTAGAGAGAGAATGCGGAGCGAACAGCGGTGCTTCCAAGACGTGTGCTTACGCCTGCAGCAATGTCCTTGATCAACACATTGCCACAAAGCTGACAAACTGAGGGTGCGAAACCTGGAAGGAAGGAAGGAAGGAAGGAAGGAAGGAAGGGGAGGGCGATGGAGGCAGAGGTTGAGCGGTGGCAGCAACTGCACTTGGCCGGAGTATGCACCCCCAAGATCCTGTTGGCGACCAGCCTGTGCCGAATCCGGGAGGCCAGGACCAGCAGGCGGGTCCTCGCAGGCTGACGGCCAAAGATAGCCCGGTGGATCCAAGGGCCAGTGAGGACCATCAAGTCAGGGAGGACTGGAGGAGTATTCAAATCGCATCTTTGTGAAAGTGGTCATTTCAAAGGCCACCTGTACCAAAATGGTAATCCACGTTCCCCCTGCCACGTTGAGGCGTCGTAGAATACCGAGCGATGTCTAGTAGGGTTGCTGTCAATTTTCTACGTGTCTTGCCTGTGCGTCCCCGTCTGTGCGTGCTGCCATGGAGGCGCACACTGCCGACGAAGAAGGCTTGAGTCCTGACGACAAGAGAGCAGCTGACCTGGAATTCTAGAACACGCACGCTGACTCGCGTGCACCGCCCCCCCTTCCCGAGGCTCGCTCGGCGCCCCGACGTCCCTCCCTGTGCTCCCCAGAGTTCCCCGGGTCTTCCACGAGGGCCCAGGAAGGCTCCCAAGGCCACCGCTATGGCCCAACATTGCCTCAAGAATCCCCCAACAGCTACCAAGAGTAGCCGAAGCGGCGCCAAATAGGCGCAAAAGGCTTCCAATGCACCGAAGAGAAGGCCAAGAGAAGCTTACATGATGGCCGGGATCTCTCAACCACTGAAGGGTATCCTTAGATGTTAGAAGGTTGCTCCCTGACCGGAGGTTCGTGGCAGCTTCCCAGGGCGATGCTGGCAAGCTGCCGCCGAGCTGCCCGGCACTAATTCTTAAAGAGTAGGGCGCCTCTTGGGCTCGAGCGGGGGCGTCGTTGCCGAGTGAAGTCTGAGAAAGTCTCGAGCGGGAGCCTCGTTTGTTCTGAATCAATCGAAACACTCTCTCAGGACCTCGTCAAAACCCTCGTCAGGAACCTCCGGGCGGCTATCGGAAACACGAGGCTGTCTCCAACGGGACTTGCGTTCGTGACCCAATAGTAAGGAAACGGAAACTGTGTACATAGGTCCAGTAACTCGACCAGGCGTAGCACGATTCGGCCATGCTTCTAAGACCGGCGAGGAGGACAGAGGAATAATGAGGTTCTTCTGAAGGACCGATGAGGCGGACCAAGGACAATCAGTACCGAGGAGGAGGCGGAGGAGGAGGAGGAGGACTCATCGCTTCGCCACTCCATGATCAATCATCTCGTCGACAAGGTGGTCGGCTCGGATCACTTCGCGTATCCAGGCCCTCTCGGCTCAAAGTGGTTCCACAATGGGCCCTTCGAGGAGACCACGTGATGCCGTAAGGACCCAATCATTACCAGCCTCGAACGTATCCCTATCCCTAAGATTGACACGCCAAACGGCGATGACAATCTTAGGGATTCGCCCTCAAAAAATACGGGAATCCCTACGATTGGCATCGTGATGAGGAGGTGCCCAGCATAGGGATAGGGATATGTTCCAGGCTGGTAAAATCAGGGTCTTCGAAGGCACCCCACGCGGCCCGGCCCACGGCAGCCCCACGAGGGCCCCAGGATGGTCCGCTCCAGCCCCCATATACCTCCCCGAGAGGCACCCCGGACGGCCGAGAGGGAGCCAAGATGGCCCAAGACGCCACCAACACGGCCGAAGAGAGCCCGAAGACCACCAGAGAGGTTGCCAAAGAGGGCCCCCAAGGCGAGGACGGCCCAGGCGGGCCGAATGAGAGCCCCTCGCGGAGCAGAGACGAGATGCGGCACATGTTGCAAGCTTCGTGGCGTCGCCACGCAGAGTGCTGCGCTGGTGCGGCGGCGGAGCTTGCCGCGGGCAGCTGGGTAGTCCCACCAGCCCTCTGTGCTTAGGTGGTTTAACGAACTTTGTCTTCTCTCTACAATCATGCCATATGAATACTACTCTCTTCTCTCCCCTGGTGACGTCCAGGAAATGTTCGGCCCCCTCCGCGTACGGTTTTTCACTCACACAGAGGATTCCCGGGAGTTGGGTTTTTGCTTGGATAGTTTTCAAAATGCTGCTCTCGGTGAAGCGCTGGCCTCATTCTCGGGCTACCGCTCGTTCCGAATCGTGCTTCCGCTGCAGCGCTGGAATCATTTCCGCGCTTCCGCTCGTTCCGAATCGTGCTCCCGCTGCAGCGCTGGCGTCATCATTTCCAGCGCCGTGCCACGGCATGGTCTTCGGTCGTTCCAAGAAGGCCCCAACATCTAAAATATTGCCCCCCGACAAAACCATCGGAAGTGATTACACATGCGGTATACATTGGGCCTTGGCTTCGCCACGCCGTGCTATTTCAGGCTACGCGTCCTCCGAATCGCATTCCCGCTGCAGCGCTGGCCTCATTTCCGCGCTTCCACTCGTTCCGAATCGTGCTCACGCTGCAGCGCTGGCATCATTATTTCCAGCGCCATGCCACGGCTTGGTTTTCGGTCCTTCCAAATCGGCCCCCAACTCTAAAAAAATGCCCCCGAAAAATTCGGTGCCGATTCATTGACTGTCAGGGCCGCAGCAGCCCCCCCAGGGATCTTAAAAAACAACCCGGCTGGAAAACGCCGATCCGACTTGACCCCGTGAGGGGTCCGAGGGTCCACTGTGAGCCGATTGTTTAAGGAAGCCAGACAATCGAGCCTGGCAGCCCGCCGTACTATTCCCTGACATCCGTCCTCGCCCGCCGCGGCTTCCCCCGCCGCCGCCGCCGCCGTCGTCGTCTGCGTCGTTGTCGCCGTCGGCAATTTCTGTGCGTTCCCTGAAGTTTCCGGTCGGGCCATCCGCCACGCCTCGTGCAAGCTGCCTGGGGAGCCCAGGGAGACTTGGAAGGGGACTCGGGGAACGCAAGGCAGCGTGTCGAAAGGAAAGGGGGATGGCCTTACGCTATCACAGCACCCCTACCAGACGGCACTTGACATTCGAAAGCGCCCACATCGGGCAGGCACGGTTGCGCAGGACATGGAGCCGGGAGTCTGGACAGGCCTTCTCCTCTCGTAAACAAGCCATTTACCCTCCAAGGCATCCGGTGCATGCCATGGCATGCAATGCGATGTTGCGTTGTGCTCCGCAGTGCGATGCCATGATTTGCGATCTGACGCTTTGTGATGCAAGGCTGCACTACGCAATGCCAAGCCATGCTATGACATGCTCTGCTCTGCCGCGCTCTTCTACACCATACTATGCCGTGCTTTACCATGCATCGTAAACCCTCTCGGGATCATTGCACTGCTCGACATCAGCGTGTGCGCATAAAAAGGGGCGATCTGCGCATAAAGGGTTGGGAGGAATGGATATAACGACAGATATGACGCGAGCGCACCTGGTTTGATCCACAACCCCTCCTTCCCCTGCTCGGGGGAAGGGTTTATCATTGTTCCCGATAAATATACCCCCACCCCACCACCTGGCCGGCGGCCAACCCGGAATCGTGCCAACATCATGAGGGCCCCCCCCCAATCATCTTCAAAAAAACAATATGAAACGCACTCTGCGTCCAAATTCGGAGCATGCGCGGCCAACCTGATGCGGCCTCCCCACACCATCCGTCAAACCACCACACAAAATACACTTTGGGGCCAAGTCTTGAGTCATGCTCGTGAAGCCCGCGAGCACTTCGTATTGTTTTTGACAGGGACGGCGGGGGTGTCAGCATATTCCCTGCTGTGCGCAGGGCTACCGACCTTGACAACAAAAAACTGGCGAAGGACCCAACCATAGGTATGCAGTTGTGAGTCTCGTCTTTTCGGGTATCGCCGTCGGGGGATCTCCTCATGGAGCCATGAAGCATGCGAAGGGTGTGCCGATGTGGGGTGCGGCCGCCATGTGGGCGCTGCCACTGGTGCTTCAGGCGGAACGCACTACGGGGCCGCGAGAGGCGTGAAGGGTGCGCCGCAATGGGCCACTGGGGCCTTCTGTGGATTCCCCTATGGGGCCACGGAGACCTGTACTTTGCGCAGGAACCGCATGCGAATTCCGCCGCTGGGACCTTCGGTGGAGCTCCCTGCGGGGCCACGGAACACCGCACTGGGCGCAGGAACCGCATGCGAGTTCCGCCACTGGGATCATCGGTGGAGCTCCCCATGGGGCAACAAGGCGTTGTACTCGGCGGGGGTGACGCATCCGGGCGGTGCCACTGGGACATTCGGTGGAGCTCCTGATGGAACCACGAAGCGCTGCACTGAGCGCAGGAACCGCATGCGAGTTCTGCCACTGGGACCTTCGGTGGAGCTCCCTACGTTGCCACGAAACACAACGGTTGGCGCAAGAACCGCACGCGAGTTCTGCCACTGATATCTTTGGTGCAGCCCTCTCTGGGGGCACGAAACGCTGTGCTGGGCGCAGGAACCGCATGCGAGTTACGCCAATGGGGCCTTCGGTGGAGCTCCCTATGGGGCCACGAAGCGCTGTACGGGGTGGGTGGGAGTGACGCATGCGGGCGGTGCCACTTGAACCTTCGGTGGGGTTCCCTATGGGGCCACGAAGCGCTGTACTGGGCGCAGAAACCGCATGCGAGCTCCGCAACTGGGACCGTCGGTGGAGTTCCCTGTGGGGCCACGAAACACCGCACTGGGCGCAGAAACCGCATGCGAATTCCGCCACTGGGACCTTCGGTGCAACTCCCTATGGGGCCACGAAGCGCTGTACTGGGCGCAGAAACCGCATGCGAGTTCCGCCACTGGGACCCTCGGTGGAGCTCCCTATTCTGGGCCACGAAACACCGAACTGAGCGCAGGAACCGCATGTGAGACTTTCGGTGGAGCTCCCCCTGGGGCCAGGCAACGCTCTACTGGGCGCAGGAGCCGCATGCGAGCGCCGCCACTGGGACCGTCGGTGGAGCTCCCTGTGGGCCCACGAAACACTGCACCCGGTGGGGGTGACGCATGCGAACTGCGAAGGAGGGAGGAGGGGGGAGCGGGAGGAGGAGTTGGAACGCGGGGCGCTGTCTCTTCAAAACGAGGGCCCAACACCACAGGATGGTTGGGAACAAAAAAACATGCACCTCGCGGCTAAATCTGGATCGTGCGCGGCCGCCCCGCGATCACTGTCAAGTTGTTTTTGTCAGGGACGGCGGGGGTGGCGGCGTGTGGCCTGCTGTGCGCAGGCCAACCAGACACAATGATGGACATTGGCTTTCGACATGGATGGTGGGGGGCGACACGTTTCCCGGTGTGTGCTGTCACGTGCACAGGCGCACCTGACGCACCCTGCACGTGCCCCGAATGCGGCGCACCTGGCGCGGCTGGAGTGCGTGGCACACCTGGCGCGCTCGGAGCACGTGGCGCATCTGGCGCACCAGGCGCGCCTGGCACGCTCGGGCCCCAGGGGTGTCTGGCGCGCGTGGCGCCCCTGGCACGCGTGGCGCACCTCGCCCAGCGTCGCGCACCTGGGGTCGGCTTTGGTTCCCAGTAGCTGCCCATCCAAAGACAACCGCTGAACCATGCTCAGGCTCGGGTGTCATTTATGTGTTGGGAGGGCGGGTGGGAGTGAGCTGGACGGCTTGCGGGCGGGCGGGAAGCTTGACCCCTCCCCCGGCTCCCCTGGGCCTGGAAAGGGGGGGGCGCGAGGCGCTAGAGTGCCTACGATGGCCCAAGATGGCTCCAAGAGGGCCTCAGAGAGCCCAAGATGGCCTCCGAGATGGCTCAGGAGAGCTGGAGACGGCTCCGGATAACCCCCCACATGCATCGAAGACGGCCCAAGACGGCCTCAAGATGGTTTCAAGTGCCCTCCGGGCCCTCCAAGAGGACTCCTCCCCAAGAGGCCCGAATGGCTCCAACACCACAGGAAAATCACTGATGTTTGCGTTCTGGCCTTTCCGCTTCTGATGGGCTTCCGAGGCCTCAAGGTTCGCAGGCCTAGAGATTGACACCAACACCAATTTCGGCGGTGTGCCTCCACCGAGGGAAGAAGATCCCGATCTCGGCGATGGTGGTAATATTCTGGCTTCCAAGGTGGCCGAACTATTGCCACCAACGCCGAACATCTAGGATCACCTTCCCCCTGTGGAGGCAACCCCCTGTCTTGGTGTTGGTGCCAATTTCCAGGCCTCCGAAAGGTGGCCTCAAGACGGCCCAAGAGAGCCCCAAGAGGGGCCCAAGAGCACCCCAAGAGCGCCCCAAGAAGGCCCCAAGAGGCAGTGTTTGAGCCTCCGAGGGGGGGGCCTGAATTGAGGACCCTCCTTCTGAGCTACGGGGGCCAAGACGGCCCCAAGAGACCTCTCAGACCCGCCCAAAGGGCCCAAAGACGGCCCCAAGATGGCCCCAAAAGAGCCCCCAAAGCGCCCCAGAACGACCTCCAGAGAGCCCCAAGATGGCTCCAAGAGACCCCCGAGAATCTCTCACAACAACGCTTCAACTCGCCTGGCAAACTGTTTGTGACTGGGCTGGTGGGATACTTTTTGCTCGCGAAGGACACAGAGCAACTGCGCGCCGTCAAGAAACGAAGCAACAACGCACCGAAGCTGGTGGGGATATTTTTTTTGGTCGCGGCCGCGAGCGAAGAGCGCAGGCGGCGAACAGGGTGTCCGGGCTGACGGGCAAATCTAATTAGCTGCTGGGCGCAGAGCGGGTCGGCCGGGCCAGCTCTCAGAGGCAGCAGCTGCGGCAGCGGCGGCGGGGGGCTGGCTGGCTGAACTGCAACGCCCAGGGAAGCTCGAGCATCGTGCAGCCCTACGGCAAAATGCCAGGGAATTCTGTTACGCGCCGCGGCGCCAGACCACCACGGTGAGGGTAAACTCTGGTGGGGATACGCGGAGAGTCAAGAATATCTGTCGAGGAGAACACCTGAAAAGGATCTTCTCTGCCAGGCACGGTTTGAAAACGCGATTTGTAATGTGTGCACTTCCCCCTCACCAGCCCCACTAAAAATAACAAAGCCACTCACGGAGTCGGCCGTCCACCCGCCCAGCCAGCCACTCACCTGCTCACCCACTGATTACCAGTGGGTGGCGGGCAAGGGAGGGGACGACGGGACGAGCAGGGGGGACGAGGGACGAGAGGGCAGCGTGCAGCCCTCTCGCCCTGCCCACCCATCCCCAGACATCTGATGTCCTGCTTTTTCCATACGGGGCCCCTGGAAATCCCAGTTCCCCATGGCCGATGTATATATCCGAGATCGTCTTTTGACGGTCGCGGGGCCCAGCGAGGGCCCTCGGAGGCCGAAAACGGCCACAAACCTGCCATCGCGATTTCGCCACGACGCGAGCATGTCCGCGTCTGGGAATCCAAACATCGATCATCGGAGTTGTGCCGGGAGGCGTTCTGGCCAGAATCTCAGGGCGGATCCAGCCGTGGCGACGAGGAGCCCCCTGGAAGGCCAACGTTGACAGAAAAAGTCCAAGCTCAATTCTCCAAGCCCGAACTCGATCCTCGAAGGCGACGCGAAAACCCCAGCATAGTGGCGGGAAGGGCCGCAGGCCACAAGGCTCCCTGTCTGTCTCTGCTACGACTCCCTCGGCCCACATGGGGAACATCTCCTTCGCCTTCTCCTGCTCCCTTCCACCTTGATTCCCCTCCTCCTCCTCCTCCTCCTCCTCCTCGTATTCGTCGTCGTCGTCTTCAGGGTCGGCGGCACCGGCCGTAAGGCCTTGGCAATCGATCCTCTCAGGCGACGCGAACCTGACCGAGCCGGCTTTTTCGGCCGCCCGTCCAGCCTCGGGCCGACGGAGAAGGCGCCAGGGCTCAGCGGCGGCAGGCAGAAGGCCTTTTGCCCCTCCTGCGAGGGCAGGACCTCCCGACCTCGGCAGGGGGCACCGACGAACCGATCCTGATCCCCGCCTGCGTGGCCCGGGCCCCACTGACCGATCTGGCCCCCCAGGGGATGTGGGCGGTTCCCCCCCTGGGTTTCGAGGGGTACATCCCTTACTGGGGTGTCAGGATGGTGGGGATCGGGATGGGGATGGGGACAAGGATCGGTCAAGAGATGCTGCGGTAAAGCCAGCCCAGCTACGCCGACCCCGACCGCGGCGGCCGCTCTTTAAGGAGCCCTGGAAGGTACAGATCAATAGGCACAACTTCCAAGATGCACCGTCTTTTTCAAGATCTGTTGGATTTTCGTCCGCCCCTCCATTTCCAAGCTTTTCCAATATCTCATATGCAATCGACGTTTCGTTGTGTCTGTCTATTTTTCCCTCCTGAGCGTTGCCCGTCGACGCACCCATCGGCCGACAAGTGACCTTCGCGATGGCGACCAGCGGCCGACGATATTGTTTTCAACCGGCGGTTTCTCGTCGATTGCCGCCCTCGGGGGCCGTTCCTGGGCCCCAGGGCCATCGAAAACGGAGGCACCAGGACAGAACACTACCCCAGGGAAGCGGCAAGGACCTCTGGGGCCGCGTGGATCACGGTGGGATCTTGCACTGTCGATGCTTTTTTTGTCGCACATCCTACGAATGATCCCCATACGTGTGCAACCTACGCGATGCAGCTATTGTAACACTATGTATGCATGTATGTGTGTATGTATGTATGGATGCATGTATGTATGTATGTCCGTACGTACGTATGCATGTATGTATGCATGTGTGTATGTGTGTATGCATGTATGTATGTATGTATGTATGTATGTATGCATGCATGTATGTATGTATGTATCTATGTATGTATGTATGTATGTATGTATGTATATATGCATGCATGCGTGTGTGTATGTATGTATGTATGTATGTATGTATGCATGTATGTACGAATGAATGAATGAATGAATGCATGCATGTATGTATGTATGTATGTATGTATGTATGTATGTATGTATGTATGTATGTATGCGTGTGTATGTATGTATGTATGTATGTATGTATGTGTGTATATATGTATGTATGTATGTATGCATTATGTAGGTATGCATGTAGGTATGTATGTTTGCATGTATGCGTGTATGTATGTATGTGTGTATGTGTGCATGTATGCATGCGTGTATGCATGCATGTCTGCATGTATGCATGTAGTATGCATGCATGTATGTATGTATGCATGCATGTATGTATGTATGTATGTATGTATGTATGTATGTATGTATGTATATGTGTATGTATGTACGTATGTATGTATATACATATACATGTATTGCGTGTATATAAGTATACATGTATACACATATATATACACACACATCCGCACCGCAAGCCCCGCAGCTCCGGACAGGAGAGAGGAGCTGGTCTGGCTCCAGCGCGGCACAGAAAGCCGTCCGCGGGCACACTTGTTGTATGCGCTTCCGCGCCACCCAGATCAGCGTGACCGTTGGCCCGCGCAGCGACGGGCCCAAAGCCAGCCCCGCACCCCCGCGGGCCCCCTGGCTAGACGGCACGAGGCTCCCACCCCAGCCAGAAGGGGAAGATGAACGCAACGACCTTTGCCTGCACCGAAGCAGCCAACACGTGTGCACGTGTGCGAATTGAAATGGACTCGCGCGACCGGAAGCCTCTCGCTCAGCTACGCGGTGCAGCGTACGCGTTGCCATAACATGCGGTGCAAGCGATGAGGTGCAATCAGTGCAGACAACAATAACGTCGTCAATTCAAATGCTCGACCAAACATCCCACGAACCCACCCGCAACTTGTTGGCAAAACTCAACTGGCGAATTGCTGCGGCGACAATTGCGATGCAGATCAATGACTTGTAATGGTGACGACGACATCGGCGACGGCGACGCTGAATGTGGCGCTGATGCCGAGGGCGACGACAACGACGATGACGATGGCGATGCCGACGGTAGTGTTGATGACGACGACGATGTGGATGGAGATGATGGTGGCTGCACGTCCAGATGGCAACGATGACGCTGGCGATGATGATGATGATGACGACGACGACGACGACGACGACGATGATGATGATGATGATGATGATGATGATGATGATGATGATGATGACGGCGGTGCTGATGGGAATGATGATCAAGTGCGCGAGCAGGCATTATGATAGAAGTCGTATTGAAACTCAGTAGGTTATCATGTGCTTGAGCTTTTTTAGGTTAAAATGCTCCAAGACACCCCATGGCGCTGCAGTGGTACATGCGCGTTCGGAGACGCGCGCGTGGCCTGCAAGGCATTATTTGATAGAGTTGGCCAGTGCGCGGTGCTTTTTGAATGTTTGCGACATGTCCGCGCATGTGGTTTGACAGAATGACAGAGCACCTCGAGGAAGGTTTCCGACTCCAGTGAGTGCGCCTGCACGGACTTGCTGCAGTTGCTTGAACCAATGTGGTTTGAGAGCTGGTGTTCAACATGAACTAAACGCTACTGGCTGAAGAAAAAAATGATATGTGCGCGGTTGTGGCCCGCATGGCATTGTGTGCCGCAGACTCCGACCAGCGCGTACGCATTGCAAAGTATGGTTTGACAGGGGTGACGGTGGTATCGATGCCGCCCTGCTGTGCAACAACCACACTGCACGAAGGCAGCAAGCCACTGCGAACAGCGGTACGGCCCAGTCTGGCCCGGGCATGGAGGTGGAGCCCGCCTCGTGGACGATATTGGGGGCCTCTTGGGCCGTCTTGAGCCGTCGGAATGCCGAAAAGATGCAGATGCCAAACATCCTTCAAAAACCGGAGGGAAATCAACGATTTTTCCGCCTCTTCGCGCCCTCCTGGAGGACCTCCTGGAGCCCTCTTGGGCCGTCTGGGAGCCCCACGGTGCTCGCACCAGGGCGGTCCTGAAGTGCGCCTCCGAGCAGCCTGTGGGCGTCGGCCGTGGTCTCAGGGTTGGGTTTCTTGTGGGAGGTGATCTTCTGGCCTGGCCTCCATGAAGGGGCCCAGGGACACATAAATAAATACACACAAATAAAAATATTCCCCATATTTTCTTATATTTTTGGTGTTTTTGTCTTCCCCCCACTTCCCATATTTTCCCATATTTTCTGGAAAATCGACGATTAATTGTGTCTGTGTGTTTTTTCCCCTCCTGACTCCACCTGCCTGTCATGCAGGCTGCGCCGGGAGCCCACGAGGCGCCTGCGCCCGCCCACCGGGCGAAGCCTCGGCACCCGCCGGCGCACGGGACGCCCCCGCGGGCGCCCACCGGAGGAGGAGGAGGAGGAGGAGGAGGAGGAGGAGGGGGAGGAGGAGGAGGAGGAGAGGAGGAGGAGGAGGAGGAGGAGGAGGAGGAGGAGGAGGAGGAGGAGAGGAGGAGGAGGAGGAGGAGGGAGGAGAGGAGGAGGAGGAGGAGGAGGAGGAGGAGGAGGAGGGGGAGGAGGAGGAGGAGGAGGGACGACCAGGGCGGTTCTCAAGTGCGCCTCCGAGCAGCCCGTGGGCTGCTCGGCCGAGGCCTCGCTCGGCGGGCGCCCGTGGGCGCCCCGAAGGGGCGGCCCCGCCCGCCGGCCGAGCCTGCCGAGGCCTCCGGGGGGGAGGCTCCCGCTCGACCCTCGGGGGGAGCTCCCGTTCGAGCGGGGGCCCCCATCCGACCACGCGCACCCGCAGCCTCCTCCGCCCCCCCCTATGTTGGGCGCCCGAGTTATCCGGGGTAACTCGGGTCCGGGGTAACTCGGGTTTGGGTTCCCGGAAAACGAACCCGAGTTATCCCTGACCCGAGTTATCCCTGATGATTCGGGGCTCTGGGCGCCCGAGTTATCCGGGGTAACTCGGGTCCGGGGTAACTCGGGTTTGGATTCCCGAAAAACGAACCCGAGTTATCCCTGACCCGAGTTACCCCTGATGATTCGGGGCTCTGACTATGGGTCTGGGTGCGTGTTGTTCGATCGTCATCTTAAGCGCGCCTCTGCGCAGCCTGTGGGCGTCGGCCGAGGCCTCGCTCGGTGGGCGCCCGTGGGCGGCCCCGTCCGCCGGCCGAGTCTGCCGAGGCCTCCGCCCGGTGGGCGGCCGTGGGCGCCTCGCTGGCGTCCCGTGCGCGGGCGTGGCCTGCCGAGGCGTCGCCCGGTGGGCGCCGCGGGGGCGTCCCCCGACCAGCCATAACTGGGGGGGCTGTGGTCCTTTCACCCCCCCTGGGGGAACCCATCGCCTCGACGATCTGTCGAGAGGGGTGTCGAAATCGATGGGTCCCCCAGGGGGGTAAGGACCACAGCTCCCCCAGTTGTGGCTGGCCTGGTCCCGTGCGCCGGCTGGGGCTGCCGAGGCTTCGCCCGTTGGGCGGGCGCAGGCGCCTCGTGGGCTCCTGGCGCAGCTCGTACGACATGCAGGTGGGGGCCAGGCCAGAAGATCACCTCCCACAAGGAACCCAACCCTGAGACCCCAGGGCGTCCACGGATCTTCGGTGTGGGGGCGTCACGCTGTCCATGGCAAAAACATCGAAACCCAGGACATCCAGGGCACGCCCTGGGGGCAAGCGGGGTGTTTCTTGGCATGGGCACCCACTGTAGATTGCAACTCCTAGCTTGCATCATCTTGCGTACAAGCTACAGCCTACACCACAGGAGTCTCACAGCATATTCTACACCACGCAGCCTGCACAACTTGCACCACATTGTTTGCAATACCTCGTAGCTTGTACCGCATAGGTCGACACCCTGGGTGCAAGAATCCACTGTTTGGGGTCCACGCTGGCAAATATCCTCGTGAGCGAGAAAAAAGTATGGGGTGCGACCGCTGTGGTACAACAGACTATGTGACGCAATTAATGCACGGTTTTTCGGACGCGTTGACGTTGCCAATTCGACTGCACGAGCAAACATCCCGCCCGCCCATTCACTCACGATGATGGCGCTGACGAGGACGACGACAACGACGATGACTGTATGACAACGGTGTTGATGAAGACGACGATGTGGATGGTCACAAAGATGTTGG